AAGCTCCATGGGCCCTTCCTGATAGGTGCTGAGCTTATAAGGTAGCATGCGAATAAGCATGAAGAGGAAGTCAGAAGTGCTGAGGTCCTCAAGAACGTGAATGAGAATCGTACGCAAATGATGCGCCTTTTCAGAGATTTTCATCCCCTTTCCCAGCTCCTCCATGAGTAGAGCGGACGACACACTCGGCTTGTTCAAGACAACACCCGACACAGACAACTTATCCAAGTGCACAAGAACAAACAACAAAGGTGCAACATCCCGACTGTAGTGCTCAATTGTCGCCGGTTCGAGTCTTGTGAGCGCAGCAGATCCAACACCAGGGTTATGAAACGAGGGACGCATCAAGATTTTTGGGTTGCACGCCAACGCCGTAGCATGGCAGTGNACGCCAACGCCTCGTCATGACAATACTTGAACAACGCATGCACCTCAGTGTAGTACAGATTCTTGTCAAAGGAAAACTTGCCAAGAATTACCAAGTCACTTTCCCCAAACTTCATCACGTCCACGCCCATAAGTTTGAATATCGCAGAGTTGTCTTTTCCACTGTAAACAGCGGCAGGCTCAATAATGGCATCGGAATCGAGAAGAGGTACTTTGTCACGTTATGGAATGACGCGTAGCTTTCGGCATTACGCAAATCCTTGACACTAGTCCTACCAGATCTAACGACTTTTATGACATCCCCACTTTTATAGAACTCTCGCTCTTCTGTATCGGCAAAATCAAATAGCAGTTTAGAGGATGACGGGAAACGATCGTCCTTGCTTCGCCAGTAGGCAACTAACGTTCGAGGGGACCTCTTTTATATAATGAAAAAGTACGAAGGCGAAACTGGCGTAATTTGCCGCCCAGATGGTGTAGCCGGGGATATAATGCCTGACCGACGCCAACGAGACGTCATTTGTGAGTATCTCGCAACGCAAATGAATGATCTGCCCTGGCCAGCGTGTAATACTTTACGTCTATTCATTGGCACTATATCTATACTTATAGTAACGAAATACTGAATTTTGTTTTTAAAGGGAGATTGCAGGTTTGTGTTCTTTTCCATTGATCCATCACAGGTCTTCTCATTTTGTCTCAATGTTCATCACTTTGTTTAAAATATGAAAATGATCATGTGCTCGTAGTACACATGCCTCCCTCAGGTTACACCACGTGGTATGGATGTATTCGCTCATGTACTACCGACATATCTCGTGCATCATGCATATGCAATATGTACATCATAATAGTCTCGTGATCTTAGTCACAGGACCAGTTTTGTCAACGGATCAATTCGGATCACAAACTGGAACCCGGTCTTCGAGATATGGGTACTTAGATTGGTATCATTGTGAACGTATCAGGTTAGCCCGGGTATTGCATTTATAATGCCTCTTACTAGTTTCGAAGGGAGGAAAGGGCGTGCGTCTCGACTCGTTTAGGAGGTGGTGCGAATATGAAATGTCGATGACATGAAGTGACTAAATTACAAAGTAGCGTTCCAAGATGTGAGAATGAACAGACGCATCTTGGAGAATTACACCGAGATATACCTCCGGCGTATGGCTGAGTCCTATCTCCATGATCTTCAAACGCTCGTTCGCATCAGCCTCTGAGCTTCTTGTACGTACGGTTGAGCATCTTTGAGCCAGCTATGGGATCCGGATCTCAAAGCCTCATGAAGCGATAATCGTTGAACTCCAGAAAGTACACCTTTGCTGTAGAATGCCTAAGACTCAGACCAACAGAGTATATAAGAAAACGGTTGAGAAAATCCACTCAAAGAAACTTGAACGATCTACATGCCATGGCCGATATCTGAGGATATGTAACGTACTTTGAGTGGCTCATGGTATACCCTTTTACATAAAGAAGTGGAAAGGCGCTGTCATATTGGTCGACCGGTGAATAAAGACATAGGCCTGGTTCATAACAATGCAAACCGAGTGGGTTCCGCTTTCAAAACATAAGCGCATTGGTATTGGCGCTATCGAACACCTGTATTTGGCCTGTCGCGAGGATGTGCCTTTTCAACGGCATTAGCAAACCTAACAACATCCGTTCATCGCTTATAGGCGGCTTTTTTCGGCCGCATGTCGAAAATGCCATCTTTTATTATTAGCCATCCCTTAAGCTCTCTCTAGGACGGACGTAAAAAGGAGTTTAACAGAGCTGGAACGGATTGGAACGAGATAGCCATTAATGTCTCGGATTTGCGATCTTCCGTTTTCCAATGGTGTCAAGGATTGATATAAAGACCTTCCATCAAGCATATCGTAGCCTTTGGATCGAAATGTTGCCTATGTTATCCAATACGTTTATCGGTACCGCACCAACAATAAAGGTTCTAACTCACCCGAATCTAAAATTCAACTACTCAGCAAATAATCTGGATACCGAATCAAATGTCTTTCCCTTCGTCTTTACCTTTTCTCTCCGTCCGCGAGGCAATCACTGATGCAGTGTACCGCGGTGTTCTGGGTCTTGATACAGCCGATGTTGCCTTGTTTGACTCTGCCTTTCACGAGAATGCGACTTTGAATTGAATGGAAATGTTATGAACGGCCTTGCTGCCATCCACTCTAACTGCTATGACAACATTTCCAAACTCGACACCACTCATTTTCTGAGCAATATCCGTGTCAATGTACTGGAAACTTCCGAGGCCAAGGCAACCGTGACGGCATCGGCTCTTGCGCAACACTACCGTCCAGGCCAGGGGAGCGAGCCCGACGCGCCTCACCTGATGACCGGCAGTCTTTACTTCATGGACGTGGAAAAGAATGCCAAAGATGGCTTATGGAAGATCAACAGCTGGAAGGTGAAGTTGATCTGGAGAGAGAGTGATTGGAGCATAGTGTCGCAAGCCTAGATGTTGCGGTGAAGGAAAAAGATTGATGTCGTGCAGAAGAACCTGTATCTTCAGATGCAATTCACTTCTTTAGTTTTTGTTGTGCGCGCGGGAACTCTTTTTTGGAATTTTCCGTGGTCAAACACTGTTAAACTTTAAAGAATTAACCGAAACTCTCATTTTCATTCGAAAGGTAGAACTTCTATTTCTTTGTTTCAAATCATGAGACTATTTACGGTAGCTCTCAGAAAAGAGTCAGTTCTGCTGAAATGTTAAGATTAGTTGTCCGAAATTGCCAAACTTGTGAATTCTCTGCCCATCAATATATGTGCCCGAAACAATCATGAGAATAGGTAAAGGGTTTTCGGACTTTGCTTTCTATTCCCAATAACATCATGGAGCGAAGCGCTGCCGAATCATCATTCTTAATCTCAGGTCCCTGCGTCCGTACTCGTGAGTTTCCAGGAATCAATGTACAAATATCCAATCTAAGGACTGTATTTTTCTCCGCAACGGACGAAATTTCAAATTCATCGTCGAATTCGAATCAAGTTTCAACAAACGTAGAATATCTTTCACATTTTTTGTGTCGAACGTTACAATATCAACTTCGATAGAAAACTAGTGTCAGAATTTCATTAAATCATAAGCGCAGACGGGTAAAGTTTGCGATAAAACTCCATCGTCCGTCAAATTTAATTATTCGATCCGCATAGGATTCACAACTGATGGTACTAGCGAATTTGCGGGCCGGATCTGTGATTCGTCCCCAGTCCTGGTATGAAATGGAGAGTCCGTGATCCAGCAGAAAACAAATAAGTATAGCGTGAAATAGCTCAATTCGCCAACGTTGTAATCGTACAGGTTGAAAATTTTGTTCATTAAGGTAGTAATATTTCCAGGCTTTTCGATGAGACATCATAGGCACTTCCTCCTCAAATCAGGAAATTGAATTGTATAACACGGATAAGTCATCGAAAGACGTACAAGAGCCACCACACGCTATAACAACTACAACGTCATCTTTCCCTAGCTTCTGGCCAAGAGCGCTTTCCAGTAGGATGGTAACAAGATGCAGTGATGCGCCACAAGCCGGCTCGACAACAATACCCGAGTCGTCAGAAAATCTCATACAAGTCTTGATCACATCGTTGTCCTGGAGAACCACAGACTTACTGCCATACTTTTGTGCACTGTCGAATGCAAAAGATGCGATATATGGGGAACCCAAAGAGGAAGCGATACTGGAAATTTCTTCTAATACGATTGGGCTTCCATTTGCCAAAGACTTGGAAAGGACATCGCTTCCTTCAGTTTCAACCGCAACAATTGGGATTGCTTCGGCTAGATTGTATTTTTCTAAACCTTTAATAACACCACTATAAAGGCCTCCACCGCCTACGCTACACACGATGCCCTTTATTTGGGATAAAAATATGTGCTGCTGCTCTAGCTGCTGCAAAATTTCTTCCAAAATAGTGGAGTGTCCTTCCCATATCATTTCATCGTCGAAGGGATGAACATACAAAGTTTCTAAGCCACTTTCCCTTGCCTTTGCCATCACTTCGTCGCGCAGATATTGATCGGCAAGACCCCAGTGTTCTCCGTACACAATTGCCACTGCACCTGCGCTCTTAATCTTCTCAACCATTCTAGGCTTTGCAGTTTTAGGGACAACGACTGTACAGTCAAGCTTCATTGATTTAGCTGCAGTAGCAGCCGCTAGACCTGCGTTTCCTCCAGAGCTGGAGAAAACTGCCAACTTCTTTTCGCTATTTTTCATTAAGTCCTTCTTTTTCTCGGCAATGAGATGACTGATACCTCGAGACTTGAAGCTACCACCCGGATGTAGCATTTCATACTTTATAAAAAATCTGGGTCCATCTTCTGCAGTGGTGAATCGGCGTTGAATTAGAGGCGTCACAGCGTAATTCATCAGGTAATTAGTTCTGTAGGTGAGGATCCCTCTCCTTTGGTTATTTCGAGAACTTCTATATCGAAAAAGATGTTTTGGAAGCGACTCGCCTAATATTTGTTGACATTCACTCAAATTGCAAAAATACCTGCCGATACGAACCAGATGTCAAGTTTTCAAGATGGCGTAAACTGCTATACAAGGCAACGCTGAAATCTGTTATTGCTTTGACTGGAGTAGATGTAGGGCGCTTGGAAGTGTTTTGGCGGAAGAGACACAACAGATCGTTTGCCAATGAAGAAGGTTGTTGCTAATTTAACATTCTTCTCCTACGATTGCGATTGTCGAATGTTGACTCTGAGCCGAGCCCTTAATGGAAATCCATTGTCAATTGTCACATATTCCTCTCAGAGGGTGTTCTGCAACCTAAACCTTTTTCTTCACGCGCTCAAATTTCTAAATCATAAGCTTTATTTATGTGGTACATGCACCCGTGAGAAGCTTGACGTTCCGGAGCTGCATGCCATTCGTTCGTTGCTCGTGTATTTACTCGCAAAAGTACACATTCCTGGCTCGAAATGCGTATAATACAGGCTTTATGGGTATATACAGCCATCCTTCATCACAACAATCAAGTTTGTTTCTGGTTCATCTAAAACGTAAATGTCGTCCAGTGGATTTCCATTCATGAGAAGTATATCGGCAATGAACCCGGGCTTGATCTGGCCCAGCTTGTCTGCCATCCCATTCATCTCACACGGGGTAACGGTAGCGGACAGAAGTATTTCTTGCGTAGAAAGCACTTTATTTCTGATGAAGAACTCTTGAGTTTGGTAACCATTGAGAGACCCTAGTAGGTCTGAACCATAACAGATTTTGACATTGTGTCTCTTGGCAATTGATAGAGCCTCCAAGCCATGCCTTAAAACGCTTAAATTCTTTTCAGCGTTGTCTTTATTCAGGAATGATCCGAATTGGTCCGAGGCTAGTATTTTGTAAGTAACTAGAGTCGGGGTTAAGTAGCAGCCCAGTTCAGACATACGCTTCGCTGTGTCATCGTCTAAAAGATTGCCATGCTCAATGCCTTTCACTCCCAGATTGATACAGTTGTTGATAGCTTCAGGCGTATATGCATGAGCAGTCACATAAGAGTGGTAAGTGTCCGCAACTGCAACAATAGCACTAATTTCATCTTTACAAAACTGCAAGTTAGTGATCTTGTCAGTCGGGGAAGCTACACCTCCACCGGCCATGATTTTAATAAAATCAGCGCCTCTCCGAAACTCTTCTCTGGTCACTTTGTAGCACTCTGGAACGCCATCAGCAACGATTCCCAAGTTATTGATATGACACTCGCAGTCGTCCAGTGCCTCGCCGGGCATGTCGTTTCTACGCATATCACCGTGGCCACCAGTTTGCGAAATTGCATGACCACAGGTAATCAAACGAGGTCCTTTGACACTTCCTTCCTCTACGGCTTTCTTAATGTAACTTTCAGCACCACCGCAATCTCTCAGAGTAGTAAATCCTCTCTTGAGAGCATTTTCCAGGTTGTATCTGACCCTCATTAGAGCAGTACTTTTTGCAGTATCCAGAGTACGCACGAGATCTGTCTCTCCGGGAACAGATGTGACGTGGACATGGTTGTCGAAAAGCCCTGGCATCAAATACTTGCCAGTACCATCTATAACTCTGTAGCCTGCCGTTTCGACGTCGGAAGCGTCGGAATAAACGATATTTGATATAACTCCACCTTCCGTATAAACATATGCATTTTTTCTTACCTGGCCATCAACGACGTCGATCAAATTAGTGTTTTTGAAACAGTATTTTTCAGGCTTGTTTATTCCCCATGGAGTGACTAAATCTTCAAGGTTTTTCCAGTTTCTTTCATTGACATCAATTTCAAATGATTTGGACATAGCTAAAAGAATCACTTTTTACGACGTCCAAAAACCTCGCTATGAATGATTCACTTAGCATTGCCATCTTTTCTTATGCGTTTGTATTCTTATAGCCAAAATTCAAGAGAGTCGGTCGAGGTTAAGTCTTACAGGTTTGTCCTTTTGATCTGTTATCTCATCACAAGTAATTGATAAAATTCGAAGCACATGTAGCTTGCAGGAAAAAAAGAACAATGGCATATTTTCCTATCGTAGTGCCCAACGTCCAACAGAAGAGCGTGGTAGCTAGCTAAGATTGCGGATTTGGCCATCGGCATTAAGAATTAATACTAAGGAAACCTTAGATAAGGGTATCCGACTTGGTGTACACTAATGGGTGTAGTTGAATTGAGCTGAATAACCCCTTTGGGCGTTTATCAGAGGAGATTGTTCAGATTGTCATACTTTGCCAATCAACTTTGTCAACAACGTCAGGTTTCCTAATCTATCCAGCTGCCGATAGTAATCGTGTAACGTCAATTTACAGAAAGTAAGATATACGCTAAGGGTGTACACCCGAGGAAACCGATAAGGTTTACTTCGAGCATTTACTGAATACAACAATGCTTAAGACGCGATGACCTCTACTTCAAGATTGTATATAAGAAGAAGCTCTTTGTTGACTTGTCAGACCTTCCTTACCATTTTTAGTTGGTTCTAGAAGGAACGTGCATAAATAAATCGCAACGATGAAGGAAGAACAAAAGAATCCTATAGATTATGCGCTTGACGAGGTGTCTTCGGAACATGTTGGAGAGATTGAAGCTATAAAGGAGGAAGATATCGACCAATTGGAGTATACTCCCGAGGAAGAGAAAGCGTTACTTCGCAAAATTGATCTTCATGTGTTGCCTCTGATGTGTGGCATCTTCTTTGCGCAATATCTTGATAAGCAGTCTTTGACTTATGCAGCGGTTTTTGGCCTGAAAAAAGACTTGCACATGAAGGCCCATGACTATGCATGGTGTACAACCATTTTTTACCTCGGGCAGTTGGGCTCAACTTTTCTGTTCAGTTACTTGATGACAATCATTCCAAGAGTTCCTCTGACTGGCGCCTGTGTTGTCGTGTGGTCAGTGTGCTGCATGTGTTTAGCAGCTCCAAGCACGAAGGAAGGCTTTTGGGTCGGGAGACTTTTTTTAGGAGTCTTTGAAGCCGTTGTTCAACCTGCATGCGTTTTGATTACCACCTATTGGTACCGAAAGAGGGAGCAGCCTATGAGAGCAGCTTTTTGGATCTCTATGAACGCGATAGCCCAAATTGTCGGAAGTTACTTGATGTACGGTATTGGAAAGACAAACCCTGGAAAACTTGCAGATTGGAGAGTGATGTTCTTAGCCTGTGGGGCCATCTCTTTGGTTGCAGGGTTACTATTCTATTTTCTGGTTCCAATTTCCCCAAGCTCGGCATGGTTTCTTAACGACAGAGAGAAACAAATCGCATCAAAGAGAATTCACGAAGAAAGTGATCGGTTTGCCATCAATAAGTTTTCTGTTGGGCAGCTAAAAGAATGTCTCAAATTTGACTGGCTATTTTACAGTGCCTTTTTATTCGGCTTCTTGATAACAGTGACAAGTGGTCCTATTATTTTCCAGTCGTTGATTCTGGCCGGTTTCGGTTATGATAAATATGATACTATGAAGTACGGATCCCCAGCAGGCGCTATTCAACTTCTTTTCGTGTGGATTGCTGTTTTTGCCGTTAAAGTTTTCCCTAGAGAGCGGTCTGCCATAGCTGGCTGCCTTGTTGCCATTCCATTAACCGGTAGTATTATGGTTCTATCATTGAAGAGGAGCAGTGGGTGGTGGGTGATTGTTGGTTCTTGGTTAGGATCTGTCATCACTTGCATCATGACCGTTTTGTTAAGCCTGGTTGCCAGTAACGTCAGAGGTAATACCAAAAAGTCGCTTTGCTCCAACGCTTTTTTCGTTGGCTATTGTTTAGCGGCAATCATTTACCCACAGTGGTGGCTAGGAACATACCGTGGAGGTCTTATTGTTACCATTATTATGTGGGTTCTTCTCATTGTCTTACTTGTATTTTACAGATTCAAAGCGATTCAAGAAAACAAGAAAAAAGAGAGCGCAAGCTTCGAAGCTGAACAAGTCATTAATGATGATGATTTCACCGACAAGGAGAACGTCCATCACAGATATGTCTATTGATTTGAGTCGCCATGGTTCGATTGCAAAATTTGGTCTCAGTGAGTGTGGAGTTATTTGTTCTTTTTGCCAATTGTAATATACTGTCCGCGTACGACAGACAATCTAAGAACGACATTCAAGGAACTGTGAATGTCTCTTAGGGCGTTGGTCAACGCAATGTGATAGGCTCTCCTTTGTTAAAGGAGCTATTAAATGTGTCTTGAATACATCGGTGAGCAAGGCGTATCTAGTCATTCAGGAAATGTACAAACACCAATGATTTTTCGAAATATCGATCCGATACGCAGTCGGAACATTTAAGGGAGGTATGTCTATTTAGCGCTCACTAAATATTAAGTATTAATGGTTTTTATTTTCAAAGACGTTAGTAGCACCCTCCAAGACTTCAAAAGGGTGGATCTGGGTCTATCTGGAATAGAACATCTGTGATCGCACCGAAAACGAAATTTTACAAATGTCGGGCTCCAATTCTTAGAACTAAATGGTAATACTGAAATGTTGTTCAAGGGTGAGCTCTCACTAGTTTGGCGATCTTTTACGTCAGGAGTTCAGTGCTATTTATTGTCGGAAAGTATCGATTGCACAATGGAATCACAATGAAAGCGAAGATCAATGACAAAATAGTACAGACTGATTTTGGGAACCTTGGTGGTACAATGGAATATCAGCCGACGAACGTACATTATTTAGTCTGCCGCGCACTAAAAGAGGTGATTTAAGCTGGGGACTGACTGCAGACTTGGCGACCAGGCATCAGGTTTGTGAATGGATTGACGAAGTAACTTACACTCGACGCTCGTAAAATGAACCGACCATTGGCAGAAAACAACACGGATGCTGCGGCAATCTCGAAAGGTTCGTCTCAACATGGGCATAAAAAGGTTAATTCCGCTTATCTTCAGGACAGGATGTGCCTTAGTCTGCGGATCCAATGTACTTTTTTTAGCTTCACAGGCCTAAGTGCTGCTCCTGCCGAAGGGGAGTGTACACACCTAGCTTTTCTGTGCCATATCTGGACGGACTCCTGCAGGTACAATGGTCGAGAAGACAAAAATAATTGCGGACTCTTATCCGATAGATCTTGGCTGCAGCAGTTCTGCATATTGTTCATGCACGAGTGCGAAAAAATCAGCCCAACATCTCGATTCACGGCCGGAAACACACGCACGCCCGCTTGGCAATCATGGTGGGAAGTGAAAAGACTAGTGACCCGAAGGTGCAGGGAAGCTATGCAACGTAATTACCCCGGGAACTAGTCGTGCATTGAATGTTGCATTGAATCTTCTCCTTAGTCCTGCCATAGACGTGGGACATAGTGCGAAGACGTGTTTGAGCGGTTTTTGTTTTGGCAAGAAACAACAAGAATGCCATAGAGCCGTGGACAAATACAGATCATCTTCAGTGTATCCGGGAGGTGGGGTACTCACAAGCGGGACAAAGGGCGAGCAACAAGTGCTAAACAATCAATGTCATTATTCGAGGGTATTCTAAAGCGGGACAGAGAGCAGACAACTAGTGGTAAACAGCACAGGTCATGTCCTGATTGGCGTGTGCACTTTCATTTCGCTGAGGCTTTTTTTGTCTCGAATCTCTATCGGCTTTAGCTGTGCAGCTTATTCTGCTTTGGAACTTTGTTCGTGTATGCACGCTACTGCGAGTTTGCAGACAATTCCGACCATTGGCTTCAACAATGAATTTGTACGTGTTGCCGACGTACGGTACCAGATATCGGACGTCAACGGTAGGACGAAGATCAAGCCCCAAGCTTAAAGAAAGGGAGCTTGGAGTCAATGAAATTAGCCATTTTTGATGAAAGCTGCGTACCCGCTCTCGAGAAGCGGAGGTGATTATTGAGATATCCATGAAAGATCAGTATGAACTGTGCACGGATATCGAGTTTTTTCAAGACTTTTTTTCAAGACTCTTTCAAGGATTTGGGTTGATTGACCGGCTAGAAAAGGGTACAGATCTTAAAGGGAGATTTACCGCTAAGCGATGTCCCGCCGAATTGGATGAAGCATTGACTAAAGGACTGCTCTGGAAGAGGCCCTTCACCCCTTTCAAGCGTCTATGCAACAATGCTTTTTCTTCTACTTGATAAACCAGTCAAGAAGCCCTTTAACAGCCTTGCAGAGTTAAACTCATTTTGTCATTTAAGGAAACACGAGGCGTAAAATTTGCAAGAACAGGGTATAATTCAGCTACCCAATTCTTAGCATGAGTCGGAAAAAATCTAGTTGAAGAAGTATGGTTTGACAGGGTTCACAGGTTACGAGATGGGTCTCAAACACAGGGTCGGAGCTGTCTTGGCAGAGAAAAGATCAAAGATTATAGTCGGATCTTGTGCTGGGTGATCGGAAGTATTGAGGTCCAAGGGCCTTTAACGAGTCTGTATTGCGTACCGATCACTTCAGTCAACAAAAGGCAGCAAATGCAAAATAAGTGGCAGAATTCCTGGCCAGCATATCTCGGCCCGTCCATTACTAAATACACTCAGAATCTGCAATGCACCCTGCATCAACTGATAACATATGAAATAAACTCTTGTCGGAAAGGCATTTTCGGCGGCAGTAAACAACATTTTATATCGCGAACGGCTGATATATTTTTACCGGTTTAAATTACTGCCCGGCTTATTTTGGCAGGAACATCAATAAATTTATATACAGGACCCTGCATAAAGTATTCGTCTGGTAACGGAAAAATTATGGAAACGCTAGTGGCCGCCGCAGAAAACGATATCTGAATACATGAACTGTTGGAGGTGTTGCATGCACCATTCTTCTTAATACGGCTTTGCAAGAAGTCAGACTATCCAGGATATAGGCATCCGTATTCTTGCATGGCAGTGGTACATTGATCCTTCATCGACCTTTCAGACAGAAAGAGTTGTAGCTGGCCGTTACACGTTTGATATATACATTTTTCGCGTATGATGTGCTGACATGAGTTAGAATTTACCTGCCAAGCCGAGTGCTTTTCTAGTTGAACTTGTATAGTGTTTTCGAGCCATAGACCTCTCCTTTGCGGAGAGTCACCGCGCTTTTCCATTCTTCTATGTTTGCTGCGTTAATGAATCTACCAGGTTCACAACAGAAACCGAACCGTTCGCCGTAGCCCTCTATGAAACCAGGCCCTTTGGTGTAGAATTGAAAAGTAGGTTCAGTGGTGCACACTATAAGCTTGAGCTTTGATTCAGGATGGTACGCTTCAATAACCGGTTCCAGTTTGTTTTCACGTGTGTCTATTCCACCTTTGTTCCCTGTTACAAAGCATGTGTCAAACTGGACCCCACCTTTTGTGTAAACAAATTTTGAAGCATCAGGACTCTTCGACACACGTCCAGTTGGACAACCTGCTGCATCAATTTCCAGAACTTGATCCGAGAAGAGCTTGAATTCAGTACCATCATATCCTGTGTTTTGAAACGGGTTTAGGTTGAAGTAGGAATGGTTGGTGAGATTTATAACTGTCATTTGCCCTTCTTGAACTATTCCTTCATACTCAACCTCAAGCTCCCTGGTTTTTATATCTATTTCATATGTCACATTGACCACAACGTCCCCTGGGAACTGTGAATGCGAATCCAAAAGCGCGAACTTTGCAATGTATTTGAACTTGGATGGGTTAGTGACAAGAGGGCCCAAAAAGCGCCTTTTGTGATACGAGCTTGATGAACTGTGCACAGTGGCGCTTTTTTCATTCAGCTCCAACTGGTGCTCAACGCCGTCGATGCTGAATTTACCGCCACGTAAGCGATTGGCATAACGTCCAACTGTCGCTCCGAGGTATGGATTGTTGTCATTCACATATTCACATTCGTTTACAAGGCCTAACACAACCGACTTGCCGTCAACTTTCAGGTCAACGATGCTAGCTCCCACGTTGCTGAGAGAGATCTCGAAACCAGAGCCGCATCCCAGTGCAACGACTCGTGACTCATAATCGTTCGGCAAGTTGAAAAAAGCATCTGCCACCCCTAATACTTGATACCCATATGGATTTCCGGTAGCCCACTTCCAAAGGTCGCTACAAGCATCTGCCACTTTAAAGTGCGTTTTCCACTTGAGCTCTTCTGTTGCCCTATCTGGTTTAGCGGTCAGATTTAGCACGTCACCGGCTCTGCGTCCAACGATATCGTAAGGTAAAACTATGTTTGATGCTTTGCAGAAAGCTTTGTAGACCTCGAGAACAGTGGAACCAGTTCCAGAACCCAAGTTCCAGGCACGACACAGACCACTCTCATTGTCAGCTACATTAAGATATTTTAAAGCGGCAATGTGACCCTTTGCTAGATCAACGACATGAATATAGTCTCTGATTGGGGTTCCGTCACGGGAGTCGTAGTCATTGCCAAAAACAAACAATTTATCTCTCCTCTTTACAGCAACTTGAGCCATGTATGGCAATAAGTTATTTGGAATACCCAGAGGGTCTTCACCAATGAGACCAGAGGGGTGTGCTCCGATCGGGTTAAAGTATCTTAGGACTGCAAACCGCCACTTTTCAGGTTCACTCGTGTGCAAGTCCTCGAGAATCTCCTCGATCAGAAGCTTCGTCTTTCCGTACGGATTTGTAGGACCAGTGGGGCAGTTTTCTGGGATAGGAATCATGTTAGGGAACCTTGTAGCATCTCCATACACGGTTGCTGAAGACGAAAACACTAACTTAGTCGTTCCATATTTCTTCATGGTTTGCAAGAGTACAACGGTTCCTGTGATGTTGTTGTGATAATACGTTAGTGGTACCTTTGTCGACTCGCCTACGGCCTTGAGACCGGCAAAGTGGATCACAGAGTCGATATTGTACTGTTGAAACACTTTCTCCAAAGCAGGCCCATCCATCAAATCCACTTTGAAAAAGGGAATCTTTGTATTGGTCAAAACCTGTAGCCTAGCAATAGGCTCGTAGCACGAGTTGCAGAAATTATCAACAACCACACATCTGTAGCCGCTTTCGATCAACTCGGCCACAGCATGTGACCCAATGTAACCAGCACCGCCAGTGACTAAAACCCACTTGGCTGTGCTCTTTCCAGCGTCAGTCATCGTTATAGTTAGCTGAACAGCAGATCAGAACTGCGTGGGTAACATCCATTGTTTTTTGGCTTTTTATGGAAGAGCTTTTGGAGGTACCCCTTGGACCTCGGAGCACTGAACTCCGAGATTTTGTTTATGTCAGGAAAAGTCGGAGAGTAGCGGTCCGATGGCAAGCAGCGATCCGGAGGTTCAAAACCGCACACCCAGCCTCCTCTATATGCCGAGAGTAGCTGGTTATAAATAGGCGTGGCATAAATTCTAATGATCCCCACATTTTTATATTATCAGGGGCCCCAATAGTATAGAATGACAATCCCCACAATAAGCGCTAAACATCTATCCTCAAAAAAACAAAGCTCGCGTAGAAAGTGTTGTAAATGGCTTTAGAAATTCTTATGGAGAGAAGCCTGGTTTGTAAGTAGATCGCCAGGCAGGGTCAATTTGATTGGTGAGCACATTGATTATGAGGATTTCTCTGTGCTACCCATGGCAATCGACGCGGATGTTTTGTGCGCATTGAGCGTTTCGTCCACCGACGAAAAGTCAGTCATCACGCTATCAAACGAAGACAAGAGCTTCGGTCAGCATCATTTTGAACTCACAGCAGATGGCTCTGACATCGCGATTGATGGTTCGGTATCCGACTGGTCCAACTACTTCAAGTGTGGGCTTTTGGTAGCACAGAAGGAACTCAAGAAGGAGTTGCCACAAAAGTTTGGAAGCAGACCGTTGTATAGTATGAAAATTCATGTTGGCAGCAACGTGCCTACTGGAGGGGGGTTGTCGTCTTCTGCCGCATTTATTTGCGCTGTTGCACTAGCTGTTCTCCGCGCGAACGCTGACAGTGATTATCATGTGTCTAAACAAATGCTCACTAGAATTACAGTGACAGCAGAACATTACGTATGAGTCAACAATGGTGGTATGGACCAGGCTGCTTCGGTTTAATATGATGAACGAATCGCAGGATTCTTGTGACAAGCTTTACGAATGTTCTTGTGTAGAGACGGACGAATTGTGCCGTATTGCGAGAGCCAACGGCGCCTATGGTTCTAGACTTACCGGTGCAGGTTTGGGTGACTGCACGGTTCACCTGGTCACTGGGAACAACGCTAGAAAAGTGCAAAACGCGCTCGTTGAAGAATATTACAGCAAGAGGTTTCCAGGAATGGCTCAAGATGCTCTAGAGGAAGCCGTTCTTGTTTCAAAACCTGCTCTCGGTAGTTGCATCCTGAAGATTTGAAACCATGTACATGTGTTTATAGAGAGAGAGCAGCTTGAAATGAAAGTATTATGTGACATTTGCGTAGTCGCTCTCATGGCCAGAGTTCTGTCGTCGATTCATTTGATAATTTTTTTGCTGATTTATCAAGAATTACGGCATTTGTGACCTCGATCTAGAGTCAAGAGCCTATGCCATTTTTAAGAAACCAACATCAGAGGTGCGCTGCTTTCAATTGATGTTTACTTCTTCATGACAGACGAGGGCCTTCCACTAGTCAAAAAAACTACAAAATGATCTGAAGTCGTTGCCACAGGTTTACATAGAGCTTTTCTGGTCGCCAGAAAAATAACTCAATTGTAAAGTATCTTGCGACTTGGATAGGTGATTACTTTGTTATGGCATCACAATAATGAGTACATTTGAATTCCAAAGTATATCTATGAAGGCATTCAGCTAATGTGCGCTTATAATTTTTCCGCATAGTGGACATCTCCGTCCAAATCCACTAGACGCTTTGCAGCTTGTTCAGCAGTCAGGTCTCTTTGAGGCTCCCCCAGAAGTTCAAAGCCCACCAAGAATTTCCGGACAGTCGCAGATCTCAGAAGTGGCGGATAAAAGTGCATGTGAAACCACGCAGTATTCTTTTCTTCCTGAGTAGCATTTAGAGGAGCTTGATGCAGACCCATTGAGTATGGAAAGCTTGTTTCGAACAAGTTATCATACTTGGTGGTTAACTTTTTCACAATCGAAGCCAAATCCCGCTGTTGTTTGTCGTTAAATTCGGCAATGGAGCTCAGGTGCGCCTTACTCACGACAAGAGTCTCAAATGGCCAAACAGCCCAATACGGAACAACTACTACAAAAGAGTCGTTTTCCAGAACAATTCTTTCGCGCTCCTTGCGCTCCAAAGCAACATAATCAGCTAGCAGGTTGCCGGAATGCTCGCTGGTGTATTTGGCAAAAGATTTGAATTCCTTTTCCACTTCACTGGGAACGGTGCTGCAGCACCACGCCTGTCCATGTGGGTGTGGGTTTGAGCATCCCATTGCGCTGCCTTTGTTCTCAAAAATCTGGATATATTTGTAAGGCTTCCCATTCTGTTTTGCTTCTTTTCCTAAGTCAACGTACAGCTTTTTCCAAGCCTCCACGACATTGACAACGTCATCAAGAGGCAAAAGAGGAAGCGTCAGGTTATGTTTGGGGCTAAAGCAAAGAACGAAGCAATTTCCCTCAACAGATTGAGTTTTCATGAATCTTCTTTTCAAGCTGTTATGATAGTCATCTTCGTAAAGTCTCGGTTGTTCAAGTTTGACTGCGGGGAAGTCATTAGAAAAAATTAGGGTAGAAGTGTATTTTGGGTTAACTTCACCTGAAGCCCTCGCATTTCCTGGGCATAGATAGCACTTGCTATCGAACTCGGGTTCGGTTGGCTTTGCTATTGCCTCTTGTTGACCCAACCATGGTCTCTTTGCTCTGTGTGGCGACACCAGGACCCAAGAGTCTGTTAGGGGATTGTATCTTCTATGAGAGTTGTCGGTGAAATCAAAATGGGAGTTTCTTGTCATGGTGATTGGATCATCTCTTACATATTTTATCGCATTTCTCAGTGGTCGACCTGTTCAACTATTGCCTTTTATAAAGGTTGGACTTCGGCAATGATGCTTTCGGATCACTGTGGTGCGAAGGGCGTGTCACTGATTTTTCTTCGGAGCATAAAGCTCCGTCAACCACGTGACTTCTGAGCTGCAGCCATTGTCCTGACATGGGATGTTTTGTTTGATCATTGGAGGAGCCTCCGATGAATTAGAGCACTGGAGGATACAAATCTAAACGTTCAGTAGTAAGGGAGTAAAAAAGTAAAAGAGAGACGGAGAGGAATGAAGCAAGCCATATCTAGTGCGCTATTTCGGCAGACACTCTTTTTGAGCACCCAGGCAGATCCACCATCAGGTCATCATAGTCACGAGATTGCTATCGGCGACAGAATTGGAATAAGTCAAGAAACCTGAATTGCCTTTGCTCCCGCTCACATGAACGAAAAAACACACTTATGATCTGCATGCACTCGTGGTACCAACTTCAGCTAGATGGATCATTTCACTGAGAGTGTTGGATGGGTGACCGTGTCATGATGCTTCAGACACTCAACCTGCATTGCGCGAGGAATAAACAGATCGAAAGAAAAAAATCCCAGCAGTCATATCCTGATTTTCAAAAGTCTTAGCAATCCTGGAAGTCGTTCCATTACTGGACAGAATATGATCACACAGGGATAGAGTGCGAAATCCTTTCTTCGGGCACATCATGTCCTGAACACCATGTGAAGTAGCTCTTAACTGCTGCATCCACCCGTCGTCCTTAAATCCCTGGCGCTCTCTTACCTCTGCATCCCAACAATTGTTGAGGGCTTAAGATTGGCAGCCAATTGGAAGGTCTCAAGCGGTTTCGCTATTCAACCGTCCTTCTCTTTGCGACTGTCGTATCTCGCGAGGATCTCGGAGAGTGCCTGCAGGATCGTGCATGCATGAATATAGTCTCCAGTAGGATGAACCCTGCAACAGGAGAAGACGAGCTGAAGATAAGAAATAAAATTGGTACGCTCTAGCGAAAACGCACGCACCGCGTCCGAGCGTGGAACTCACCTTTTTCCGTGAACTTGAGAGTCAAAAATGTTGTCTACTCTCTTCGCACCGCTTGTCTCCTTCTGAAAGACCTTCTCCCGTAAGAGCTGCTTGCCTTCTCGTGTGTCTTGGTCTCGGTCCCATTTTCCCGCTGTTCCTCGCCGGATTATCGCGACAATGCGTATGAACACTAAGTGAGCATTGAAGCAGGGTCGAGAAAACTTGACCTGCAAGAAGAAATGTCCGCGCAAGTTTTCCGTGCAATAACGCTACGCGGTAATGCTCCCCTTCCCTTCCGATCGAGAGAGCGTGCCTCTTAAACATACTCGGGCCGTATCTTTTAGACCGTAACGGTGGCTACATGTTTTCAATACGCAGAACAGCCAAGAACTAATTGAAAAATCCCAGCATCTGTGTTCTTCGGGTCAGGCTAGCCATCTCCGGTAGTTTTCCAATACAGAAAGGAAGTATGAGCGTCCATCTACACAGAAATAAAACTGCTGCGCTGATTATTGGGCGGAACATCCAATCGTTCTGTGGGACGTAAAAAAGCCCTCGGATGCACACGTTGCTTACAATCTCATCGTGAAAATTAACGTAGGAATTTCTCTTGTTTACGCATTTTAAAATGGAACATGCATGATCATCGCGGTCCCTATGTCAGCTTGTTGGTTCTGCATCCATTTTATGCGCGAGTCGAACGGGAGCGGGTCTTTTTTTTGAGACTAGGTTGCACTTGTGGAAAAGCCTTGACAGCGTTTCTGCCCATTTAGATGATTCATTTTAACGGACACAGGTGAGGTTCGTGGCCCTCAATAGTGGTATATACTGGGTGTGATGAGAATAGAACTGGACCTGAAAGGTAGGTGGTTAGTGAAAACTTTGTATTGACTTGCCAAATAACATAGTTATCCACAATGTCGGTTAGTGAGAGTTTGAATATTTTGACTGTCCAATTCACGGGAAATGCGCTGCTTCACGCTTCCGATTGGATCGGCGTCTTTGTCAACTTCACTGCGCAATACGGTGAGGGTATTGCCTGTACCGCACCAGAGGGATTTGCGGATGTTTTGACTTACTATCCCAGCCAACGGGTGGATTTGCAAAATGCTCTCGAGGAATTCTCAGTCGCTGCAAATCTGCCACTCATGTGGGTTGACCAGTACGGAAAGGAAAGCGGTGCTTCTCCATACAATGAGCAAATGAGTGTGTGGGATATCAACGGTAACATCAAAAGCACTTGTGCCAATTTGAATGCGACGTGCTATCTTCAGGAGTACTGCGGACCCAATGCCTTTGGCTCCGGATCTGCGGACGGATCCGCTGTCAGTTCTGCTCCAGCTAACTCTGCACCAGCCAGTTCTGCTCTAGTCAGTTCGGCACCAGTCAGTTCGGCACCAGTCAGTTCGGCACCAGCCAGCTCTGTACCAGCCAGCTCTGCTCCAGTCAGTTCGGCACCAGTCAGTTCGGCACCAGCCAGCTCTGCACCAGCCAGCTCTGCACCAGCCAGCTCTGCTCCAGTCAGCTCTGCTCCAGTCAGTTCGACACCAGTCAGTTTTGGATCAGGATCCAATGCTGCGTCCGCCTCTGCCTCTTCCTCTGCCTCTGGCTCTGGCTCTGCACCAGCGAGCTCTTCACCAGCAGGCTCCCTTTCCGGTTCAAACCCCGCTGGAATAGCCAATTCTTCCCCAGTGGCATCCTCTTCAGCTGCTGTAAAGGTGAACCCTTCAGTAATAGCTGCTCAAGCCAGTTCAGCCCGTTCCGCATGGGCCGGATACAAGGCTAATGGAACTGATACCACAGTGGTGAAACACCATCCTTCTACCACTGTTATGACCATTACATCTTGCTCGGACAACAAGTGTACCGAAACTCCTGTCACCACTGGTGTGACAACAGTTACGGGTATTTCTACCACCTACACTACATTTTGTCCTTTGACTGAGCAACATGCCGTCTCCAATACGAACTCCGAGATAGCGCCTTTCTTGGCTCCGTACTCAACCTGGTTAGCACCAGGAGGATCTAACAGTGGGTCTAGTGCTGCATCCACTGTGTCACCATCCAAGCAAACCATCACTTCTACTGAGGCTGCTGTCGTTTGTTCAGCTTCCACAAGCAAGTCCACCGGTTCTGGAACGTCTTTGCCCAGTCAATATTCTTCTTCGCAGACTAGTTCCACGACGTCTTTGAGTGTCTTTACCGATAACAATGGTGTAGAAGTTATGGTTTCCAAAGGATTCGTCTTGGCTGCAGCTGCTCTTTTATTGTTGTGAGATAGCCACATGTCTGAAAAGGTCCTGCTCTCTATCATCAAAGTGTAGACAATAGTTTGAACATTATGTAGAGCGTACCGGGACCCAAAAGAGTAACAAAATGTTGCTCCTAGGTCTTGTAAAACCAATAAAATCAGCGTGAGCGGTACCAAGAGACTTTCATTCCAATGTGATACCGGGTTTGAGCGGAACAATTTTTTTCTCTCCAGCTCTTGAGTGCTGGGACGGAAGATAGACGATTAGAAAACATGGAGGGAATTTATTAGACAAAAGACAAATAAGAAAAGTCGTAACACTGATTCCACTCAACTTTCATGGGCGACCACTTCTCGTCCACACTCTTGTCATCGAGAAATACTCAAGTTGCGCAGCCCAGATCCGCTCTCTCAGCTATTTAGCCGGCGCTTGGTGTTGACATCTCCAGTAAGAAAAACCAATTACACAGACGCTTTTGTTTGTTCGGTGAAAAACTACAGACCCGATACAGCGATTTAACCAATCCTCTTCCCAAAACCTTCAACCTCTGTAAACTCATAATTTTGCTTCGTCACCATCAAATCATGAAATCGATCAGACTTTGAGAACTTATTTACATGCATCATCGTAGTTTTAAGTGCGTGTCTCGAATCTGTTGTAGCTATACACAACATTAATGAAGTTCAAATATCAACACACCCATCATGCAATTGTTGTGCAATCATGATCGTAAGGCTGGATGTGACGGGCAAAAAGACTATATCATACAGACTTCCGCTGGCCATATGTGAACGTACTATTCCAACCATTGACTTGAACATCGACTTTATTAATGTTGATGACATACGCTACCATATATCAGATACGGGCAGTTCAGAAACAAGGCTACTGTTGTACCATCGGCTTTCTAAACAAGAGGCTAAAATGTAAGCTCTACTTCCCAGCTGTCCAGGGCGTCTTTTTGACGTGAGAGGTCACTTTCACAAGCTTTGCAATTCAGAATATAAAAATCTCCACCGTTAGGCTCCCGGTTCTTAGTTTTACACATAGAAAAAGTTCGCCTAAATCTAGGCCTGAAGAAGATGTCGTGGAAGATCTCTATCTGCTTTCACTCAATGTATCACAATTCGTGGGAAAGTGTAGGACCAAAATGTAGAGAACGTTCTCATAATTCCAAGAGTAATGCCAAGAAAGAAACAAGTTTGATGAAAGAAGGACGCAACACCGAACGTCAGAGTGTACGCTTAGTTCATTGCCCGCGCGGCAAAAGTTCAATCTCCTTTGAGTTTCCCCAAATTCTCACTTATGTAGCTCCGGATCTTCTATACATAGACGACTTTATTTATGTATCGAGTCCGTTTCTGCACGGAACTTAAACGTTAAGAATCGTAACGGTGAAAATTAATTTCTTTGCAGACTCTTGGCAATAATACTCAGTACATTAATTTCTGGATCACGCTCTACCGAGCAAAGGGTTTAGTTATGCCAAAACTGAGCAGGATTTCTGAGCTCGAGCGCATGACGAAATCTGCAGACTGGGGCACGGTTCCGATTTTGTATCGGACGACGTCAAATTACCTTTTATGATATAAGCGTAAAGCTGTTTTCATCACTTCTCAAAACCACGAAAGTTTAACAGGTTGCCTCATGAGCCTAAGTCTTGAAGATCTACAAGCACTGAATGGCTTGATTCTGTGATGATTTTACAATCAGCTCTGAACTCCTGAATGTTGAAGGTTTTTTTAGCAAGATTGCGAAATACAAGCAACGACTCTGTGATGAACAAGTGCCGTGCTCCAGGTCTGGTGAACCTAATATAAAGCTATCCAATTTTCAAGATCTTGTTTTCAATAGACAATATTTGTCTGTTTTTACTGTACTTTTTGAAGTTATTCCTCGGAGATGTACAAATGAACATGCAGGGACCATATAACTTCTGCAGAGAACATTTATTACAAGCTTTATCGAAAGATAGCTTATCAGCTGCATACACAACTATTATTAAGTCAAGCTTCAAGTGTGATGCTATCGACTGTATGGAACGGTTTGTACCTTGATACTTCAGAGACCAGTCCGAGTCTGTCAATAAGTTTAAACAGTTCTGTTGAAATAGCCGTAACTGATTGAACAGTGAAACTCTCAAATGAATAACGCAAAAGCTAAGAGCAGCAGTCCTAAATTTTCAATCGGCAGGCACGGTGATCGAAACTGGTCGCCCGTCGAAGAACGCTGAACTCCTCGCAGTTGTGCCAATGAGTTTAGGTTGTATCACGAGTTAAGTTCAGTCCATGGTACAAAAATTTCTGATAATCGGTTAGCTGCTCGGCCTATTACTTCAAATTGCCAGCTGCTGCTGACGATTGACCGGAAAATCTCTATAAAGCTTAGTAGTTGTTTAATTTGAAGACAAAAGATATAGGTATCAGAGAGCTACATGGCAGCCAGGGCTCCAGTTTTTTTTAAACTAAATTCTGGCACCTTTCAAACAATTCAACGAGTTTGGTAATTGACGGCGCCAGGGCAGACTGCTTCAATTTCAATGGCCTCACACCAAGGTGGCAAGATGTCTTCGACATTGAATAGATTGACGGTTGGAGATTGGAATAGCTCGGTTAGGAAACCAGGGCTGCAAATGGCAACTTGGATGCCGTAAGTCGAAGCTTGCAATAGCTGAGGAGCAACACCTTTGGCAGCGGTCGCGTTCATACTGACAGAAGTCCAGCTATCATAAGAAAGCTCATTGGTAACAGTGTTGATGTAGGGAACAACGGCATTTTCAATAGCGACAAAGTTACAAGTCTCCTTATCGGTGGTGCCCACTAGCGGACGGAAGTTGGCGGTATCGTTCAAGGTCTGAACGGTGGTTAGTCTAGGAATGAAACGGTACTCTTCGCCGAGGAATCTGCCCCATGCCTCGGTGGCATCGCTGGCAAGGGCATCGGCACCAACAAAATAGCTTTGGCCGATGTAGGTGTCATTTTGGTCCTTGACTTTCAGCAAATATGTTCCACAGTGAGGTCCGTGAAGCCCTTGGCAGGTAATGTTGGTCCAGTCGGAGCGGTAAGCAGCAACCGAAGTGGCAAGAAGACCAGTTACGAATAGGAATACAGTGCTTAGCCACATGAGTTTGGTTTATCTAAAGCAGAATGGTTACTTGTGAAAAAAAAGCCGGCCCACAAAGAGAGAAAGAAACAAGACCATAGGTCTCTACTTATATATGTTGATTTCTCGCCGTTATGAACATCAACACTTACCTTAAGGGTTCTGGTCTCAGCGGCGGCATGCAGGGAACAATCTTCTTCAGTTGAAAATTCTTCTAGAGTTAAAAATTCGTTTGGCCAGTTCTGTCGGGACTCCAAGGGTTCTTTGGCATCGATTGTAACAAGCGCCTCAGCGAGGGCGGTGAGCAAGTTGAAGCGCATGGTTACCAATGCAATACATAGAATACACGATCATACATTTCGAAATTTTGTCGAGACGTGGGCAGCAAATACAGTGAGCAGGGTCCTATTCCCGTTGCCCAGCTCGCGATGTCATAGTGGTTTTATTCTACGAACGACATAACCCTTTATGTGTTTAAGCGATCGGAGCTACTGCCAAGGTTCAAAACGAGGAATAAAAAACGAGATCGGTGCTACCTGAACTCGTGATTAATGCCTCTTTGCAGAAGCCATGGTGGAATCGTAATATAGACGGTTCAGTGTAGCATGATGAATCATCCTCTGAGTCTTTTCTCTCGTGGAAGCTACAATTCTTAGAGACTCAAAGTTTCTAACTCTCATCAGAACTAGGCTCTAAACAGCCCATATCTCAAGTCAATAATCAATGACGTTAGGATTCCTTTATATGTTTCTACTAGTGTCCATATTGAAAGTGATTTCAAGACACCTATATAGGTCACGTGAAGAGATGACAGCGTCAGCATTGCAAAATAGTCCAGAAGCTGGGACATTACTATGACCCTGGCCATTCAACTCTTCAAGAGTATTTGAAAGGCATTGACTGCTTCTGTTTGATTGATGACGGAATGGCCTCCGAAATGATATAAAAAGGCATAAATTCTCCAACCGATCAGACCACACGACATATGCTAAACACACCACAGAGAGTCAACTACAAGCTCAATTCAGCGGTAAATCATTCTTATAAGTTGAAAAATACAATGGAAAGTATTACCAGAGAATTGGGACAATCAAGAGACAGGTCCTCACCAAATTTTAACCTACGCCCCTCTTCAAGCAATACCAACGTTCTTGGCGGCCTCTGTGACAAGCTTCTCGAGCGACTTCCTTTTCACGTTCAAAAACCCGCCACCATCAAACTGCAACCCGTCTTCGATGTCTGCAGCCCCCGAACCGTTGAAAAGAACCGTTACTAGGCTGATGAAAAAAGCTGGGAAAACTTGTCCCTCTTCCAGTGCCTTGTCGCGCCTTTTGAGCGTTTCTTCCAGACTTACGTAAACTTTCTCAAACCTTGAGCCGGTAACCTCCTCAAAAGTCTCTGCAATCTGCTTCGACGTGGTGCGGACCTCGGCAATGCGAATACGTTTGTTTATCGTCTTTACTTCGTCCATCTGCAAGACCGCAACAAAAGACTGCGCCAAAAATGGCAGCGAAGTACCGGTAAAATAGTGCTCACCTCCATCAAAAAAATCGACCTCACGTTTCTGAGGCGCAATGGTTCCAAAACGGCCTTCGAGTGCAGCATCAATGAAAAGCGAGGGAACTAGCGCAGTGTAACTCACTGCGGAGTTGCTTTCCCCGAGAGCTACGAACTTGCGAGATTCTTGAACCGGGGCCAAGCCGGGTGCTAGGGGACTTCCATCAGCCTGTGTGAACAGGGCAACAGCACCGGGGTGCAGCAATTCCATACCACACCCGGAGGGAAAGAAACGGCGAACCCCGGATTCTTTGGCTGCTTCAGCAACTGCCCGTCTACTACACTCCCTACCTTGCTACTAACAAGATTGATGATAGCGTCTGCCCCGGTGATCGCCTTCACAAGCTCTTCCTTCTCAGCATAGTTGACCGGCACAACCCGGGCACCAGGCACGGAAACTTTCTTGTCACTGTTGCTGCGAGTAAGCACGGTAACGTCAAACTTAGGTCTTTGGCTGTTCAAAAAGGCGCTGAGAACATGGTCTGCAGAGTTCCCGAGCTACCCGCAACTACTATGTTTTTGAAGGTCATGAGAGATTATATAACTTGGTTGGTTGGACTTGGAAATCTTCACAATGGGAAAGTACAGAGCAGGACCCGCTACATTTATACCAGAAAAGTCACTGAGACAAGGCATTTAAATCACTCCGTTGATTTTTTATCCAGTGCAACCCTACCGTAGTTCGCGATCTTAGCACGGCTTGGACGAAAGACTACTCGACTGCGTGTTCACAATTAGTTCCATGCCAAGCAATGATAAATTTCAAAGTCCGGTCAAGAATGCGTGCTAACACGTCATAAGATCGCAGCTTTAGAAAGAAGTACATAACCGAGAAAAATGAAAGTACGAGCAGCAATGAACGTCGTAGAATAACCAAAAATGGAAACATCATAAGCATATTTTTGATGTGCAGTCAAAAGAGCCATTGCACTTATACGATTGTGGGGTTTTCGCCCCACAGTGGACTACATGGCTTAGTCTGAGAAGCTCTGATCAATCAATCGATCTAGTTCTTGTAAAGAATGACTGGTGTACCGTGATAGGGATTCTTCGGCACGGCAATCTACTGTGGTGCGGTTTTTCATTTGCCCTTCGTAGGGCTGGAAAAAGAGGTACTAAGACGCAGATACCAGCGTGAAATGAGAGCTCCATATCTGTAGCGAGTGTCGGGATTCTCATGAAATTGTGCTAGGCGAGGCCGCCTCGCTACACCTGATTCTCAGAGTGACACATTTTCGTTTATAGAGAGCTTACCCCACGCTGGACAGCTATTGTTACAATGTCGTTTTCAACTGACGCTATAGATCGGAACAGTCAATGCCTTTTAGAGTCGAAGAAAAAAATAAGATCAACCAAGCTTGATAGGAGCTAAGTTCGATTCTTGTGCAGCCCAACGAGTTCTCTTCTTCCTTTTGGGAGTTCGAACTTGAAAATTAGCCGTTTGAGTTCAACCGTGTCAAGCTTCTTCTTTCTGTCAACGGAACAGATTCTAAAGTCTGACGTAGCAAAATTAATAACCAAACCAATCTGGAATGATACAATTGGTAATTTTGATGCTTAGCGCTTGGTGTACAGTCACATAGCGTATTTTAGATACCCATAGGCATATGGTTTCTCTTGCTGCATTTCAGACCATCCAAACAGAGCCTCGTCAATGGCATACACTCGCATTGCTACTTAATGAAACTCCTACATGCGGACCCTGCCATAATCACTAGCCAAAAATGTTACACTATAATACCCAATCATCTTTCTTGTCCCAACACCGACACCAAATGTTGGCAAAGTATAATACACACACCTGCCGAAATAGAGTATAAGCAACTTGCAGTGGGACACAGGACTACTCGCCCCACGTCTTCGGTCTCTACTCCAGCGTTACACCTGTGTTTTTCACAAGCTTCTCGGAATTGGCTATGAATTTTCTCACGTATTCCGGTGTGAGTTGCTGAGAAGGAAGAATCGGCTCGGCTGCGGGACCAAAGAATCTAGGACCACTGCCATTCAGTTCTGGCGCCACCATCATAGGGGCTATTTTCTCGGCGTACTGTGTAGTAGTTGGGTACCACCACCCGATCAAACCTTCTACGGCCCAGGACTTCCAACTTCCTTGTCCCAAAAAATTGTCGCGGATTGCGGTTTTGACCAAGCCTGGGTTGAGTCCGTAGAAGCCAATTTTGGGGTAGCGCTGCGCACTATCAAGCACAAGTGCTTCATTGCCTGCAACGGTGTTCATGTGTGTCTTCATAGTGCTGTATTTGCCCTCAGAATTCAGGTCCTCCAATTCACCTGTTTTTCCAGTGCCCGGGAAACCAAAGATGAATACACGCGGCGATTTCAGATAGTCGGCCTTAGTATCCGCAAGAGAAGGTGCCAGCGTGCGCAAAATAACAAGTCTGTTGAGATAGCTGACGGCCATATCGCGCTCCAGATTTTCGGAGGTCACCTGGCGCACATTTGCAGCAATGATGCCTGTACTCAAAATCAGCAAATCGAGTGGTCGTTTCGATAGTTCTTGACCAACCCGTTTAGCTTCTGTCATCAGTTCCAGATCCGCCTTGATGAAATGGACATTTTCCAAATCCGTATCCCTAAAAGTTCTTCCAACGACAGTAACTTCAGCACCCTTTGTAGAGAAAAACCGGCTCAAGCCTTGACCCAACCCACCGGTTCCGCCTATGATTGCGACCTTGAGGCCCTTAAGGTCTAGCTTATCTGCTGGGACCGTAGCGTACTTGAATTCTTTATCAGCTTTAGTGCCAAATGCCATTTTGCTTGAAGATTGACCGTCTTTTAACCTTTCGGACCCTTAGTTTATCGCAGACTGCCTACTATTTATACTTTTCATGTATGAATGGTAACAGGTTCCTTAAAGGTACTCTAAGGGTACCACCCCTGACACGCTGTCGGTAACTGACTAATTACAATGGACTACTTTTGAGCATTGAACCAAAACAAGACTGATCGCAACGACCAGTTAGTTCCACATGGGTCAGAATATCCATTAATCTCCTCTTTTCCTCTTACCCAGCCGTAATACCTTAACCTTAACACTACTAAATCATCCCTTCCAGAGTGTAGGGCTCTTCACCGCTATCCTCTGTATAATAAGACGCAAAACATGCCCGTATCAGCATATTTCCTTAGGAACTAACATTTTGCTGATGTTCTTGCTGACATAGGTGTTCTGCCCTTGTTTGCCCTATTTAGCGTTTTCTCATATTTAGAGAGATTCCTTACATTTACTCAAGAGAGGGAGGGCTTCGTGTTTCTTTGCATTGGAGTTCCACTCGGTTTTGGAGGATGTGTCCAATAGTTACCAGTAATTATTGTCGGACCTTCTCTGCTGATACTACGTAGTCTCTTGAGTTCCAACCTCAGCCGAAGTTGTATAGTCTACATCTATACAACTATACCAATGCCTTGCTTGTCTCACTCTGCCACAGCTGTGCATTACTGGTTCTGACAACCAGGCCTTCAAGCTGGACTCGCTCATCATTCCTCGTGATGGGATTGCGTTCACCTTCCTATTCGGCAAGAACAGCGATTGTCTCGCTCTTTTCGTCCTATCAAGAATACATAGGCTTATCAATATCTCATTATCGCTGTTTACCAGAAGAAGATCAAGCATGGTAAGAGTACTTAAGTCTGTAGACAGAATGCCACCTTTCCAGGCTGGACGCAATGCGGGCTGTTAGCCAACGAACTCTTACCCCCCATCCCATACCACTAATCCTCCAAATATGTCCGTACTAGTAACAGGAGCAACTGGCTTCATTGCCCTACACCTTGTTAAAGACCTATTGAATGAAAACTACAAGGTCATCGGCACCGTCAGATCGATTGAAAAAGGCGACAACCTGAAGGCTCAATTTGACAACAATCCTTTGCTAACCACTGTGGTGGTCAAGGATATTGCTGCTGTCAGTGCCTTCGATGAGGTCTTCGAACAGCACAAGGAACAGATAAAAATAGTATTGCACACTGCATCACCATTCCATTTCAAGACCACCGATTACGAAAAAGACTTGCTTATCCCGGCCATCCATGGCACCAAGAGCATCTTGGAGTCTATCAAGAAATACGGTGCCCAGACCGTCGAGAGAGTGGTAATCACCTCTTCGATCGCTGCTGTAAAGGATACCGCCAGATTTGCAGAGGCAGATTTCGTTTACAACGAAGATGCATGGAATCCCGTCACTTGGGAAGGAAGCACTGTCAATGCCCCAGACGCTTACAGAGGATCCAAGAAATTTGCAGAAAAAGCTGCATGGGACTTCTTGGAAGAAAACAGAGACGTTGTTAAATTTCAACTGACCACTGTCTGCCCATCTTTGATCTTCGGACCGCAAGCATTCGCCGCGAGCGCCGCAGGCCAACTGAACACATCTTCCGAGGTTATCAACTCGTTTTTGCATGCAGGCCCAGAAGCGGACCTCTCCGGCTTGAAAAATGATTTCGTCGACGTCCGCGACGTATCCAAGGCCCATTTAATCGCTTTCCAGTCTAAATCTGCTACTGGACAAAGATTAGGGGTGAATTCTGGTCAATTCAACAGCAAGGATCTGTCTGAAATCTTGTCTCAAAATTTCCCACAACTGAAGGGCAAGCTACCCAAGACTACTGATGAGGGTGCAAACAAAACGGAACCATACGCAAAATTCGATACCTCCAAGACTAAGAAAATCCTTGGTTTCGAGTTCATCAACCTTGAAAAGTCTGTGTGTGACACGGCTAAGCAGATTCTGGACGCCGAGAAGAGCTTGTGAGTAGCGGCACGTACGAGATGCATAAGAAAAGCGACGTCAAGGCCTAACGTAGGAGACGTAGTACAATGGTATAGATGTGGCGGCATTTAACCCTAAAGAAATAATCTCTGGTCGGTACTCAGCTCGCATGGTATCTCATTGGCACTTCTGATACCTTCATTTTGATGTGTAATGTATTCATAGATATGGCATACTGACTGAAAGCTTAAAATGTTCATCTCCTCCTTTTGTTCTGAATGCGAAAGATGATTTATCTGCCGTTTAGAGGTGGCAATGCAATTGGGTTGATTTGTTCAAGGTCAATACTATGTCTTTCAATAAGTCTTCGCGCTGACCAACCTTTCACTGTCATCGCTGTCGTACTTGGTAAACCAATATGGAAACGATGAATAGTGTGGGTGCTGGAAGTAACGCATCCTGTGGTTGACATAGAATAGTGGATACTGGATTGGGCCACTGACGCCACAAGGCCTCTAGAAGTTTAATGGATAAAACCCTCGCCGTAAAAGATCACTCGAGTAACAATCAAGACCTAATCTTCTACTCGAAGAGACGACACCACCAACATATCTCCTGAAATTTCAAACAACCGTTAGAATGCGAGATCGAAGACCAGGGACAGTTTTCGAGAATTTTTTACATCTGGGCGATTGGAATCTCTCATTGTTATGATTCTAACTGGCTTGATGCTGTTCTGAGCTTTGAGCTGACAGTATAGGCCCTGGAAGACAAGGACTTTAGAGGTTTAGTTCGCAGGCAAAATGCTGTTTCGAGAAAGGTTCGAATTCACCCAAGGGAGGTTTGAGAAGTTTCAAGCACTGAACTCCATAAAATAGAATGAGTTAACGCATTCGGAGATCTGAGTTAGGATCATACCTCACATGTTGTAAATTATTAGTTAGAGCAAGAAGTCGAACATTCAGCTCAACATAATATTATGAACAATAGCCCCGTAGCGACGCATTCAAACTCTGGTTTGGTATCTATCAACAATTTATAGTAACTGTATTTGTCCTACACTGGCAGTTCTGCCTTCGCCTTGTGATTTGACCTATAGTCGACAAATGTTCCATCACATAAGTCATTTAACTACTAGGACCCTCTGAATTTTGAACACCAAGTTTTCCTCTAAGACGTTTAAAAGTTCACTGCATCAAGTATTATCTTTCGATACTTGAACTGCCAATCGTTTGGAAGGTTATAGCAACGAGGTAACACAAATTACCTACCTTCAAACACTGCGGAGCGGACAAACATTTATACTCCGCCTGTCCGAGCCTGTCGGATAGTACGCGCTGCAACTCAAATCGCAAAACAGATATCCTGATTTTGTTCCCGTAACACTTCCCACCATGGCTTTGACGTGCGCCAACATTCTTGCATAACTGCTTTTGCCTGTATAGCCGTTTCCACCCCCAGCTCGATGAGTAAATCGATTTGAGCTAGACACGATTCACGTCTCGGAATGAGACATTCCTCTATCAGTTCACATCCGCAGCTAAAACAACTGAAAAGGAGGCAGGCGCCCGAGTATTTCACGGCAAAAAATTTCGTTTCGATCATATCTGTCATGTTCAGCAGTAAGTCTCGCACCAAAAAGCTCTCATGTCTAAATCCGAGCACTCTACGTCGTAGCTGCAACAGACCCGTCATCTCAAACAGCAGCTTTATGGCATTTAGTAATAACTTCTGATCTTGACCACTGTCGCGACCACTGTTTTTTTGGCTGACACTTCTGTTACCGACCATTAAAACGCGGTCCATCTCCAAACGCTTGGAGATTTTATAGTCCAACTCCATGGCCGCCTCAAAGATCGCCGACTGTGGTCCTTGAACGGATGAGGTTTCTTTCTGCACGATAAGTCTAGAAATTTCGGCCAAAAATGACATAACTGTCAAGTCCATTCCGTTGGCAGAAAGCATATCGTCGACAACCTGGGACTCTTCTGAGCCTTGTGCAACATCGAAATCGATGCGGAGAGGAGAAACCATCTGCTCATCGGTGCGTGAGAAACGCCCTGCTGAAAGGTAGCCCATGACTTTGATGTATACGAACCACCTTCGCAGAAAATGATGGGGATCTTTTTGTGTGCTGTATTTCAGATAGTTTTGCTCGACTTTTGAACCCGGCTTAAACTCCTGCAGTATAATGCCCTCTGCCCCCGCCATGTGTACATGCCACTTTTTGCCCTTGCCGAAAAAAATGTACAGACTTGCCAGTAAGAGAACACTAGCTAATAGCAGATCATCGAGAGTTCTGTGAGAGCTGGAAAGCTCTTTGATTAGCTCATTGACGCCCTGGTGCTCCAATTCTTTAATCAAGGGTTCCGAGGTTCCCTCACCGGCAAAAACCTGATTGGACTCGTCATCCAGCGAAAACACTTGTTGCCGCTTAAACAAAAACTGTCGTTTCGCCCTGTGCATTCCACCAAACGCCATGACAATTTTCATCAAAGTGGGACTATGAAGCGCCAGTCGTGGCACAATTGTAGAGAAAGGATTGCTGTTATCAGCTTTACTGGATGCCACGAAAGAAATCGCAGTTTCCTGCACATAATATTCGAAAAATTCCGAATGCTGAAGCGACTTGTTGAGCAGATCCAACCCTGGCATATGCATTGGTTTTAAGACCCTCGAGGGCGGAGGCAGAACTGGTGCGAAAAAAGAGTTTTCGTCATTCGCGCTGAGCAACGAACCGCCTTCCAGAAGTTTCTCATCGATTCCATCTCCTTCCCAAAGAATATTTGGACTTGTGAGCGGACCTTCAAAGAAGCTTTCTATTGTAGGGTCTGTATGGTCTAAAGTGATTAACTTTTTCTCAATGCGTTCTTTCTTAGGTTTGACAACTTTCTTAATAGAGAGATCGGCCATAAGAACACCTTCTACCATCTTCGTGTTGGGTGGGAGGTTGATCCGTTTATTCTTGTCCTTGTAAGGCCGTCCACCCCATTTCAAAGTGAGTGGATACGAGCATTTGATACTATTTTCATGACATTGGGTGCACTTTGGTTTCTTGTAGTCGCAGCGTAAGCCTTGCGATTCACACGACCTGCATGTTCTACCCTTCCAACCCATGTCGCCGCAATTAGCACCGACGTAGAGCTCATAGTTGAGGGTGCTTGGGGGAGGAAGCTGGAACCTCAAGACCTTTTTAACTCTTGACTTTCCGTATCGAGTCCAAATATAATAAAAGTCGGTATCTCGAGAGAGATAAGACCCAGACGACCTATCGTTCACGTGGAAAGCCACGATAAACGCGAGATGGGGGCTCGTCGGTTGCCGTAAGGTGTAGCGATGCGACCAGGAAGTGACAAGTAAGCCACTTATACAGCGGCCGCGTTATCCAAATTTAGTTCAAAATTATCTGTTCGCACCCATGTACTTTTGCACTGCAAGATCTGATTTCCTGATTCTGTCGCAGGAAAAGCATCGTACGGGTAAGCAGTTGGTATGGAGCTCGAGGTCGACTGTCGAGGTCCAGAAAGCCGCAGGAATGGGACTCTCGTTCCGTAAGGTGTCATCCATCAACGTCGCTTTGTATTAACAATCTTGGAAAGTTATTAGTTTTTCACTGAAGATGAGTAGTGCAGAGAGACAGCGGTGTGAGGCATACGAGAATCAGGGCGTCTGTCCATAGACTTTTAGGGTTCAGAGTAGACTCGAGCCAGCCGTACGATTGTTGCAGAACCCGATCTTGTTGCCAACGACCGGACACTCTCATTGCGAAGGCACGTGATCCAGAAGCTCATCGGCCCTCCTATGGGACTTTTCTATCCTTTTAAAGACCATTCGTCTGGTGACACTGAACGTCCTAACTCAGCTTTGTGCCACCTGCGCTTCCACTTGTTTACCTGGCTTGTCTTTCCCCGCTGTAGTAGAAAATTCTCATCGATGCCCATGACAGAGGTTCGACAAATGTAGGCCTCATGCTGTAGAATATGCCCTTCAACTAAAAAACCCCAAGTTACACCTGCCTACAATTTAGTATTTAATTGAGACTTCTATCTCTGGCTTCCATTGATCCATTTTCTGCGGCCACTCAAAGCATACCTACCAAAGGTTGCCTGCTTATTTAGAGGTGCCAGCGCAGTCCATAAGAAAAGATTTCTTCGCTGCTCTGACCTTCGACTGTTCGTAGCTATGGCGATCGATGAAAGTCCAGTTCCCATTTGTCATACAGATCAGTATCCATCTCATTCTGCATTAAAGAAGTAGGGAATCGGACTCTTTATTCTCTGCTTTGAAGCACTCCAATGCGCATGAAGATCAAATCAAATATTCCTTCTTCAACTAGACCTAATAAGTGACACTTAAAATGACACTCCATTATAGATCAAACAAAAAGGTTAACCAGAACCATTATATATCCCATAATTAAACGTTTATATTCACTCGTCTAATCGTCTTTACTGTATCATATTATTGCGTTTGGAGCGGGCCCAGGATCAGAGAGGGTAGATGAACTCTTCGTTCTCAAGATCGGTCAGATCCAGAAGAGCAACGTTTGTCTCCACTCTTTCGCCATCAGCTTCGATAAAACCTACATGTTTCTTAGAAGAGTTCAGATTGGCGAGTCTCTGCTTGTTTCTACGATGTAGAATGAACCAAATGACAATAGCCAAGGAAGGAGCTAAGAAAAATGACAGCACTATTTGAACGATCCACGCGGGAATGTAACGAGGTGCATCTTTTCCTCGCCACAATTGTGGTGAAATCAAATTCGAAACTCCATACCAGAACATGACGATACCATTTCTAGTCAACTTCTTGGTGTATCCAGCGCAGGTCTGCGAGTTCCAGCTAAACATCAAAATCCATGGAATGCCAAAGACGGGAGAGGCAAGACAAACGAAAGCCAAGAGTCCGATGGAATTGTGCCATGGCAATGCGGCTGCTCCGATCGAACCGACAAACGAGATGGAACTCCAGGCGGCAACCGAGAAGCCCACGTAGTTCTTTTTGTACAGAAGGAAAGTAGTGGCAATGATTGCACAAACAACAGCGAAGCCGCCAGACGCTACAGATACTAAAGTAGCATCCAAGTTTGTGATGTTTCCCAGACTCTCGAACAACAGGTTTTGCTGATACGTCAAGTTATTGGCAAGCTGTTGCAACAAAAAGAAGGCTCCGAAAAGCCAACTGATGGGATCTTTGAGGGCTTCTTTGGCCTGGTATGGCTTAAACGTCTTCTGTTCGATCGAAGAGCCTGTTGTTTCTTGTACCCTTCTGATAGTCCATACACGTTCTTTGGTCGACAGGAACACAGCGTCAGTAGGATTGCTGGGGTATACGAAGAAAATCAGGATGGTGAGTAGGAATGTGCAGCCTCCGATAATAATGGTGAAGATTTTCCATCCCGCGATGGGGGGATTGGTGACGTTGAGAACACCATACGCAATGAAACCGACCGGAATTGTGACACCCATGCACGCAGCGTAGAATACTGGCGCTGTCGCTGATTTTTCTTTGGGCGTCAGAAATTGACCCATTGTGGTGTTCAGGGAGGGCACTGCGATCGACTCCACGAACCCTAAGAAAAACCGCAACGCATACACGCCCTGGTAATTGTGGAGAGTACAGTGCAAAAAGATGATGATAGTCCAAAGCGACGTCATGACCAGCATTACGCGAGATAGCGGGAACTTCTGGATAAAGTACAAGTTTCCCTGTCCGATGATGTAGCCAGCGTAGAACAGCGTGTTTGCATTGTTGTACCTGTTCTGGGTGAGTCCGGTGTCCTTGAAAAACGTGAAGATCGCCGCATAGGACATTACTGCCTTGTCTGCATACAGCAACAAATTGATGAGCGCGGTGAGTCCTACCACGATCCACATCACTTTCCTGGACAGCTTACGTTCTTCCTCTGGTGTGATGGGCTCGACCAAATGGTCATTTTCCCTCAAAAACTGGAGTGTGACATCTGCATCTCTAGAGGTCACTACTCTGAAGCCTTTTTCCTCCGGTGAATGGTCACTGATCGACTGCGAAGACACAACCGAGCGAGCTTCACTCTTGGCAACAACAAGGCCTTCTTGTTCTCTTTTCGAGAGGTCAACCACCACATCTTCGTCGGTCGACGAAGAGCTATTATTGAGTTGCGACATTGTTGCGAGACGATAAGACAGATTTAGTGATGCTCTTGATATCTGTTGTGCTTGGCCCTAAATGTACCTAGATTAATTATCTGGGCCACCCACAGCTGCAGTGCTACGATTTATATACTTTTAACATAACCTTGGTGCTGCAATTCACAAGCTCGACCGCTTTACATGCAACGTTGCGTTACCTTGCCTTACCTTATCTTGCCTTACCTTACGTTGTCTAGTGTGTGTGTGCCACAGTGCCAAAGATTCTCATATTGCACGAGACAGTCAAGTTCGGTTTTCCAAGGTCAAAGACTGAAAAATAGTATGACCAGCTAAAGACAGGGAGACCTGGTGGAACGGACCTAAGATCGCTTGCACTCCTCCAGAACTAGCGTAGCAGCCAGGACTTTGGAACATGTTGACTAAAGATAAGAAACGGTCGGTAGTTTCACCACCCGGCGCCCGCACATTTGTGAAGCCATTGTTCTAGCAAGCTAAAGAATGACTCTTTTTCACTTCTAAGTCTAGGCCGGGCCCAGAAAAAAGGCAACATCAGGCAACTCGAGGGGGTGTCGTCGTCAAAATACCGTTATGAAACTAATTACAATCAGTGCACCCGATCTTTCAGTAGGAAAACGAGAACTTGGCAGAAGTGTGGGAGACACAGGGCCAAGAAGACAATGGCTGAGCAGCGTTATGAGGTTCGTTCAAGATTAGGGTTGAGTTTGTCATGAGTTCTGAAATCGCAGCGTAATTTGTGAAAAGGGAATAATAACAAAGTTTCGATACAATTCAGGGTCTACTAAGGTATTTAGAGGGTGTGAAGTACTGAATACAATATACTTGCGCAAGAGTTACTCGAGCGCAGATAAGAGGAATACATTAGCTGTCGAGATCGTTACTCAGTTACAATGGCCAGCAGTTAATGAGTAATTTAACAGATATATGCTGAGGTACGAAAAGGGAAAAGAAGCCAAGTATCTGTGCACGTGACGGAGCTCAACTGTGGAACGACGTTTTGTGAGAAAGTGATCTGGTTTGATTATGTCCTCGTCAAGGTATTCGTTGTCTTACACAGCTGTGATATGGTTGATAGCAGGGCTCACTAGAGACTTTTGTTACATCTTGCACGCATTTTGTCCTGCTCGATAACCTTACTCGAGGGCTAGACGTTCTTGGAAAAATAGACCTCTGTTTATGAGTGCCATTCGACCTCCACTCCCTATGGCTTCGCGGTTTTCTTGGCCGCAGTAGTTTGTTACTCACGCTATCTGATGCTGTTAACACTGCAAATCGACGTAATCCATGCTCATCGCTCGGACCCGAGACTGTCATCAACCACAAACGGGTCTCCATCCGCTTTACAAAAATCGTGGGCCACAGCTGCACTTCTTATCACTTCATACCAAAGTGTCTTCCAGCAGACTTTGGCAGCGTCTGTACAGACGCTGCCCACTGATGCACCATAAAAGTAATGTCGCAACGTTTAAGTGAGTGAAGCCTGTCACCCGTTTTTCTTTTTGGGTACTCAATTATACCGGGTCGGTTAATGTTTCTCATGCCCTCCTGTGACTGACACAGGTCATCACAGCTTCATTGGATAGAACATCCTTCTGAAAAATCTCACCGGACCAGGTCCCATTATATCAGCGTAGTCCGAGACGTCCTTCTCATTTTCGTCTTCTTCCATGCTTTCATATGTTCCTCTAGATCGTTTGCTTCGCTCTTCTAGCTTGTTTCGTACGCGTAGTTCACGAAATATGGCTATCAGCACTAGCGCGCATACGAAACACAGCCCAGCGAAAATCTGTGTGTGCAGATAAGGATTGCTTGGATGACTGGAGTCAGTCAACGCCTGCGCCACAAGTTCGCACTCCAGTAACAATGGAGCGCCCAATGAATTCACTAGACTCCAAGCTGGCAAGAAATCTGAGGGACTTACAATATCTGCCACCAGGACTGTACTCATAACATTCGCAACACCCACACAAGATCCTACACAGATGGAAAACATAAGAAGTTGAAGGAAACTGCGAGCGGTAAGCCAAAAGGCAAACAGGAATATGGTCAAAACCGCAGTCAGGATAATCGTGATGTTTATTCTCCCAATTCTGTCACCCATAAAACCAATCATCGGTCTACCACAGGTTTGTGCGGCATTCAAACAGGTGGTTAAAATTGATGCTTGATGCGGAGACAATCCTCTGGCAACGGCATATGGTGACAGAGTGAAAATCATCAGATTGTAGCCCAGCAACGCAAACACAAACCAGACAGCAATCAGGTCGACTCTATAAAGCATTGTGACCCTCGTGGAAAATATCAACTTGAATTCTGTTATTATTTTTGAGAACGATCTTATGCCTGCTGGTTTAGGAGGGTTTCTTGGTTTTAATAGAACGGTAGAAACAATGCAAGTAACTGTGCAGGAAATGGCCATCATACGAAGCGGCCACGCCTGGTGTCCGCTTTGCTGAAGTAGCTTTGCCACGGATACCGCGTATGTCACACCACCTGCACCTGTTCCAATCAGAGACATTCCGATCGCGGACGACCTCTTACGCAAGAACCACCCAGGAATGACTGTTGTGGCAGGAGCGTAGAGCAAGGCCGTTGAAATTCCGACAAGAACACCCTGCGTCAAGTAGAGCTGCCATAGCTTTGTTGCGAAGGATGCCAAAAGAAACCCACTGAATAGCATCGCAATTCCCACATACATTGGAGGTTTGCAGCCAAAGAGTCTCGTCAAAAACATGGCAAAAGGAGCCATACCTTGGCCGAAGGCCACGGTCATACCAGCGACTAACGCGTAGTCATATTTGGTGGCACCTTCGAAGACACCGTTGTTGAGATAAAACGCCAAGAACACACCAAATCCAGAATTGGCGCCCCAGGTGGAAAACATGATGAGCGTCACGCACAAGCAACAAACCCATCCGTAACCTCCATCTGGTGGCAGGTCAAGTTCTCCTGTAGACTTGTTGGTGAAAACTTTAGCGACGATGGTTTCATTGTCTTCAGAACAATGGCTTTTAGCTGGCAACGCAAGTTCATCACAAACCTTGTTTTCTACTTCATGTACATTGAGACATAGAGAGTCCTCCACATCAAATCTCTGTACTAGAAGTCTGCTGAGATCTTCGTCTCTTTGCGCTGTTTTGGTCTGCTCGTGAATAGAAGTGTGCTTCGAAAAGACGTCGCTACTCTCGCTGAGGCTTGATGCCAAGGAGGATGACTGCTGATCCATACGGTGCTATTCACTTTGAGTAGTGAGATCTACAGCCCCATTCCTTACTGCTCCCGCTAGACCACATTATTATAAATGACCAGACTACAATCCAACTAACTAATTACTCATTCTAATGATGACTACTTCATCCAGTTCTGTTACAACGCCGTAGAAGTATCACTTCAGGTAGTTCCTAACGCTGTTTTGGTGCGCGGTAGGAAGAAGAGCTTCCTGAAAGATTCTCAAGCAAAATTCCCAGCAAATCGGCGATCTAATTCTCCGTCGCTCTTCGAGCTCGCTAGATGATGTGGAAAACTAACGCGGTGACTCAGTGTACCGGCCATCGTTTTCCTTCCCATCCTGTTTATAAAGTAAACTATATCGATGTTCACCGCATTTGGAAGGTCCACCGGCTCGTTATCAACGAGGAAGATAGCGGCGTGAATGCTACAATTCCCGATGGAAAGGGCTCCGTTTTCGACTTCTTACTACTGTTTCGTTCGTTACTTTCACGTTGAAGAGCTGTGTTTCTGCCTCTCTTTCACTAGTAGGTCGTGCCTGGGCCTCTTCGAATTGGTAGAATCGATACTTCCGAAATTCGAGAATGCGTTACAAATTGGGATCGAACTTGCAACCTGAGTGCGTAGAACGGTTTCTACATTGTAGTGTAGCCTCTTAACATTCTAAGTTTTCACTAGTTGAGCTCATTGGCCCCATTCTGAATGTTTGCAGATCAATTTTGGTGAATGCCCACAACGTACCACCGCATTACGAAAGTAAATCTTTTGTGACCATGAGCAGGTTGAACTAGAGTTCAATGCAGGAATATATTCTCAACACTCTTGCTAACGGGCCTTTGCTGATCTTCCAAAAAGGTTGTCCATGTGTAGAAGAAATATTCAATTATCAGCATAATGTCAAGATAAAGCGATAAATCGATTTTGTATAGCCAAGACACCAAGAAACTACGGTTGTGTTTCTATGTCAACAGTTTTCAAATTATCATGAGTAGGGAGCTCATTTCAGCCTAACTCCAGCCAATCTTCACCATCCTCGTAGACACCGGAATGATATTCCTTCGTCAATTGGAATTAAGCTCGACATTTAAACCTAAACCCTAACACCCTAGTACTCGCTTAGAATATCAGAAAACAGATGCTCATAATCTGATAAACGCTCGTCACCAGACCTTGAAAGTTGCTTGATGTATTTTGATTTACCTTCTTTATCAGGCAAGCGACAATGTTGCGACGACAGTATCGAGATAGCGTGCTTAAACGAGAGTAGTCTTTTGGAAAGGTAGATAAATCAGCTAGCGTTCTTGTAAGTCGATATCAGGATTAACTTCCCGCTCGGGAATCTCACGCACTGGCATGTTTTTATGAATCGATTCGTTCCATTCGATGGGGGGCATCGACAAGATGGTATCACTAAGCGAGCCTCCAGTTACATATATGTCGAGGATACTCATGCAATGACAGGACCTGAACACTCGGCCATCAAGTCAGTAAGATCAGACCTAACATTCTCCTCCAAAAATTATCCTTCTATACACTGACATTCCACATTATGGCGGAAGAAGTAGTAGCACCCCAAGCTGTAAACGATCTGGTAGATTACAACAATGTCGGACAAGTAGTGAAAGAATTGTTCTGCGGAACCGTTGGTGGATTTGCCCAAGTTCTAGTAGGGCAGCCATTTGACATGACAAAAGTGAGAATGCAAACATCTGCTGTTCCTGCCAGCGCTACTGAAGTGATCAAAAAATTGGTCAAGAACGAGGGTATTATGGCTTTTTACAAGGGAACGCTCGTGCCATTGGTAGGAGTCGGAGCATGTGTATCGTGCCAATTCGGTGTCAACGAGACGATGAAGAGGTTTTTCCGCTGGAAGGATAACAACAAACACGGTGCTCTAACACGAGGTCAGTACTACATGAGCGGGTTCGTTAGTGGTACTGCAAACGCGCTACTTGCCACACCCATAGAGCATGTGCGTATTCGTTTGCAATTGCAAAAAGGACCCAAAACCACCGCAGAATACCAGGGTTCTTGGGATTGTGCTAAAAAGCTTTTGCAGAAGGGCGCCCTGATGCGTGGACTAACAGCCACAACGCTGAGAACCTCTCATGGGTTTGGGATTTATTTTTTCACCTACGAGGGACTACTGGCCAACGAGGCACGTCGTGGAGTGCTGCGGCAAGACGTCCCAGCATGGAAGGTCTCGTTGTTTGGTGCTCTTGCCGGTGCCTGTTTCTGGGCAACAACGTATCCGTTTGACGTGGTGAAGTCTATTATCCAGGCTGACAGATTGAACGGACCACGGTACGCTGGTTCCGTTTACAATGTGGCCAAAACCGTCTACCGAGAGCGCGGGCCCCGGGTTTTCGTTTCTGGGTTCGTGCCCACCATGCTGCGCTCGCTGCCTGTGAACGGTGCCACTTTTGCAGCTTTCGAGACAGCAATGCGGTTGGTGAAATGAGCTGGCCTGGCGTCAGCATTAATATACAGATGACTATAGAAAGTAGGTAAACTTATAAACTTGCACTGGGACTTGGAATAGGAGCGTTGCCCCTGATCTATACCATCTGCTATGGTTGTTGCATTTTATTAGTGTTTGTCTACAAATCAAGACTATCTTTTTCGCTAGTATATGCTAAAATCGTTGAAAGACTAAAGTAACTTAAATACAGAGCCAAAAGGTTAGGAAAAGAACCCTGAGTTTCCTGTGCAGTAATCCAAACCGGTTTCTGAGATGTGAGCAAGCTTCAATACACTCAGAAATGCCTTATCCGAGCGTCACGCATTCTAACCTTCGACACAAGATCAATGCAGGTTGGCCCTTTACGCTTTATTCTCCATTTCCCAACCTTACACCTTTCTGTAGTTTGTGCAGCGACCTCTACGTCTATCGACCTCTACCTAGTTACTCTACACACGCTAATGAACACTCACGCTCCCACACTTTCCACGTTCAGGATATGACAACTACCTTCTCAATATAGCAGTCTTCAACAGTGCAAGTGTTTTCCCAGCTCAACTTGACTTCTCGAGCCTTTTTTTCCGTGGCTTCTCAGAGAGCAGTAAGGACAGCTTATCAACGGAAACATTGATGAAAATTCAAGTCCGGGGACAGATAGTAGATAGGGACCAGAAATCATCTTCGCGAAAAACAACTAGGACGGCAGCGATAGCTATATCTCTGAGTTTCCGTTTACGGTCTATCTGTAGTCACTATTCATCAAATAACGAATCGAAAAGTCCAAGGGCCTACAAACAACACCCGCTGTAGATCGAGATTATATAAACTGAGGCCATGGTACCGATTCTGTAAAGCCAATCTCTTTTAACCTTGCAGGCGAAACCAACAACTTGCTGTTGCGCCCACAAACACCCAACTTTCAGCCCTACGTAACTACAAAATGTCTGTTGAAAAAACTAAAATCCTATTGATCGGTTCCGGTGGTGTTGGTACAATTGCCTCGTACGCTTTGGAATACGCTGGCAAGTCTGAGGTTACCTCTGTTCTACGTTCCGACTACAACAAAGTCACTGAAAAGGGCTTCTCGATCGACTCTTGCGACTACGGCCAAATTGACTCGTTCAGACCAAGCCACATCGCAAAGAGCGTCGAGGATAGTTTGCGATATGGCCCTTTCGAATACATCCTAGTGGTGACCAAATCCGTTCCAGAAGTGGGCAGTATGGTTGATGTTATCGCGCCCGCTGTATCTGACAATACCGCTATCGTCTTGATCCAGAACGGTATCGGTATCGAGGGAGAGGTAATTACCAAATTCCCTAAAAACGCCGTTCTCAGCGGTGTCAGCATGATTGGATCTTCCAACATCGATAGTCATATCAACCACGAAGCCCCAGACTCGCTCAAGGTTGGTGTCTTCGAGAGTAACAAAGCAGTCAAGGACGTCACGCAGGCCGTGTGCAAGAAGTTTGTGGAAATCTACTCTAACGACAAGAACTCGTGTGTGTACGACGAGAGCGTCAAATTCACAAGATGGCGCAAACTTGTGTACAACGCAACCCTTAACTCCGTGTGCGCCATAACTGGTGTCGACTCTGGTAGACTAGAGGTCTTTGGTGGTACCGACAGTATTATCCGTAAAGCTATGAGGGAGGTCCTCGCCGTGGCCAAATCTGATGGTGTCGAGCTGCCAGAAGACGTCATAGATTTCATGATTCGCTCTGACGACCCTGTCTACTACGCCCCATCGATGTTGATCGACGTCCATAAGGGCAACTTAATGGAAGTCGAAGTCATTAGCGGCAACGCAGTCAGAATTGCAGAGAAAAACGGCGTTTCTGCTCCTTACCTAACACTGCTTTACGAGCTACTAAAGGTTATCCAGAAAAAGACCATGGAAAAGAAGGGCTTGCTCACTGTTCCAAAGGAAAGACCGGTACCAAAATAAATAAATCAACCGCACTACATAGACATCTTAATTCCTCACAGCATTAGGTGCGGTTTTAGGGCAAATGTTCTGGACAATACATTACAGAAGGCTGTCTATCATTGCTTACACTATGCAACAAAACATAAGAAGAGTGCGGTTGATTTAGTTTTAAAAAGTGTTCAATCGGAAGGTAATGATTTCTTAGAGATCAAGCACAGCGAAATAGCCCGCGATATTGATATCATTGTATGCTATACATGTCAACAGGATAAGATTCTACAAGCTCGATAACTCGAACGCAAATATAGAAGCCTTCAGAGTCCTGGCAACTTCTCTCATATTAATGAATACCAGCTTTTCTTGCAGAAGGAGTCGATCAGAAAAGTTGTTCTGAGAGTCCATTGCCGATCTTATTGTGACAAACCAACCTCCTCTTACGTGATACTAGCACGTTCGCCACGAATCAGCCCATGAGCTACTTAGCAATGCAGAGTCTACAATTCTCGTCACTACCTTGCTACTATACAAGTATTTTGATCACTTTTAACCATAGTACACATCGAAGATAAACAAAACATTTGCAGGTAACTTGTCAAAAACAGACCGCTAACAGATATCTTGCGTGACAGCGCCTTGTTGAAAGTGGATTTTTTGAGTGCATATCTCCCATTTGATGTATTTTGCCGGAAACAATCGATCCCCTTAGATTTGATCATAGTAGCCATCTTAATTCTCCCGTCTCTTAAACAAGCTTACACCGTGATGAGAAACCGTTTAGTTATACGTAGTCAAACAATGCAAATACCCCTCGCGCCTTTGAGACAAGACTACGTTCAAGGAGGGCTAATTTCAACTAGTGACGAAGTTCTTGATGCAATCCTCTGATCTGCTAGAAAAGCGCTTACTCAGGGTTCCATCAGCTGTTTGGTGCGTTACAGGATTTAATGAGTAAGTTTATCACTTCTAACTGTGAATATCCAATTGTAAGTCTTAAACATAAAAACATAAGCATGTGATCTGCCAAAACATAAAGGTGCAACTGCGAAAGGCCTCAGCTGAACTGTTTGTGGATTGTGCTGATGATTTTCTGAATTTCAAGTAGTGATTAAATCATCACGATGTGTTTAAAATGATTATTTTTAACTCATCGATTCATACTTGAAGTTTGCTCGATATTTTAGATCTACCAATACTCACTGTAAAAATACCATAAATTATTACTCTTTAGATAGTAGCCGGCAGTCTACACCCCTGCAACAAAGTCAAGCTGGTTCGACAGTAGCATCTGTCAAGGGTTTAGATCACCGCTGTTACATGTAGTGTGCTATGACAATTTTCTTCTGGCCGTTAGACTTTCATTTCTAAGCATTGTCGTTCGAGAACCTGTTAGCCGGCGACACGATTTAGAAATGCTGATCCAAAATAGTTCCTAAGGCCGGGCTCAGCAGAACAGGCGCCATTCAAAAAGAGCTGCAAAAAGAAGTCATGCCGTGACTCAACAATCTTTCCCTTACTTCAGCTACAATCGATCAACTTACAAACGACGAGGTTTTCATTCGGGTAGCACTGTCAAAAGAATTTCGGGTGCAGAAATTCGCACATTGAAGGTTTGGCGATTTTTGCGAATTGGATAAAAGAGGACAGTTCTCCACTAGATGTCCCCTTCCATTAGATGAGGTAGACAACAATGCCGTTTTAGTGAAATTTGTGTCTTTGAACAAATTGTGAAGAAAACTGGACCCTTTGTGGCCTGGCTATCAAGTAACGTTAAGGCCTTAGCAAATTACCCACTAGAAAGTTCCCCTTTGAGATGCAGCTCAGTTATTCAGAAAGAACAAAGGAAAGTTGACCTAGTTACCACTCAACCCACCTTAGAAAACGTTAATAAGTATTCGGTGTTGCGACATTTGGTCTACATGGTCAAAACTTGCACGTCAATAAACCAGGGGCTGGGATTGAATCTCACTGTAAGGATCATGGCGTTGGAGGATTGAAGGAGATTGCAGCATTTTTGGGTCTTTTAGAGTCCTAAAGTTTGTTGTTTCGTCTATGCAGGGTAGCCATTGTTTGCGTTGCTGAAGGTTAGGTCAACAAATTCGCTGAAAAAAAACAGCTAAAACCGATCAACTGGATCCAAAGAGTTGACAAGAAAGTGGCCATCGAATTTATTGACGAGCAGTATCGAAGCTGCCTCTCTCACAGGTTGTTGTGACCCATATGCAAGATTTTTCTGGACCAACTAATTTTTCCGTTCACAGCACCGATTCATGCCAACGATGGGAGCGGTGAGCTGAAGAATGAGGCTTGCGAATGTTATACTGAGGAACTTTCATCTTTGGAATAGCGATGTGCTCGCGGATTGCTGGAAAATTCAGGCCGAACAGCGACACACTCCACGTTGCTACTTTTGACTGGTAACGTAGGTCCAAATGCGGCCCAATCTATCATGGGATTGATTTGAAACCCAGGTTCAACAGCGACGAACTTCGACTTGTTGGGATTGACTGGTAACGTACGCCGAAGTGCTGCCTAGTACATCATGCTGAATTGATTTCAAAGCCAGGCAGGACAGCGACGAATCCATGATGGGATGGACTGGTAAATTAGGTCTAAGTGCTAAAAACTCAATCATGCTGGAGTAGATCTGAAACTTAGCCGGAACAGCGACAGATCCACCTTGTTGCACTTGATTTGAAATTCAGTTGAACAGCAACGAATCTAGATTGCTGGTTTTGACTGGCAACATAGATCCAATTTGGACGGATTTATCATTGAATCTACTGGTAACAGAGGTTACAGTGTCACCGACTCCGTCATGCTAGAATTGATTTGAAACTTGGATTGAACAATGACGAATTTGGATTGTTAGAGTTGATTTGAAACCTAGGTTGATCAGTGACACGCTTCACGTCACTGGGCTCAATGTTTGATTTATGCGAAAGAGCGACGAACTCCACCTATGCTCCTCAACAATGAAATTGACTTGAATCCCAGGTTAAAGAGCGACGAATCCATGATGGGATTGGCTGGTAACATAGGTCCGAGTGCGACCGACTCCATCATGCTGTAATTGATTTGAAATTCAGGTTGAACGGCACATATCTAGGTTGCTGGATTTGGATCCTAACATACGTCGAGGTGCGGTTGACTAAATCACGCTGGAAGCGATTTGAAAGCCAGGCAGCGACAAATCCTTCATACTGAAATCGATCTGAAACCCAGGTTGAACAACGACACACTGCAAATTGTTAAATTTGACTAGTAACATAGGTCTAACTCCACCCATGCTCCTCAACACTGAAACCCGGGTTCAAGAACGACACAATCCATCATGTTGAAGTTGATATGAAACCCAAGTTGAACAGCGGCACAATCCACGTTACTGGCTTCGATGTTTGCCTCAGACGGAACTGCGATGAAGTCTACACTGATGGGTAGTCTCGTGTCTAACTTATGTGGAATAACAAGGAGATCGATACCTTAGGAGGATGTAACTTGGAAGGTTTGAGTACACAGACCGGGAGTATTGTGGCGTGTCATTGAAAGATTCTGTTTGCCAGACTCACTCGAAGCAATCCAACAGACCTTGAGTATTGGAGCAGTTGAATCGAGATAGGCTTGATTTTGAGAATCCAATTCCAGGCGATTTGCTCTCCTCAAAGCATCGGAATCAACGCTTTAATCGCCAACAACAGAACTTTACTTTCACGAAAGACGACTAGAGTTCGATCCCAACCTTGCGGTGCAAAAGCCTCCAACAACAAGGTCCTGAGGTCTTGATAAGTTTCTATGGTGCTACTTATCGTCACTAAAAAATACTGATTTTGAAAACGGTTTTACATGGGCAGACCAAGAGTTTTTGGTGAGGTGAGTGCTGTGTGCGTGCGCGTGTGTGCTTGTGTGTCGCTCCTGTCGCCGTTCTACACTTGACGATCTGTTTCCAAAGGCGACGAATTATTATCGCACGAGGACATCATCATCTGGCGTGCGTCGCTCGTCGAAAAAAAAGGCTGCGCTAGCGCGGATCAGCGTACAGGGAAACTTGGTTCTATTCCGTGGATGGATCCACGTCGATACCGCACATTTTTGGGCTGGAACAGATCCATGTTTCTGAAGCACGGTTGTGGGAGAGGAAACCCACGAAAAAGACGACTGCAGGTGTTGAATCGAACATGCAAGATAATTTATAGCGCAGCCGAGGCTGTGTTGCAAGAATGCGAGGCTCAGGACCGATGCTGTGGATGGAGATGCCACAAGACAGCAGCACAGCAGGACAGCGGGACAAGAACACAGAATGACAGGAAGACACTACGACCGAAGCTATGACGTTTGCAAAGCGCTGAGCTACTCTTCTCAGAAACCACTACTCGTCCGTCCATGTTTTTTCGAGCAGACCAACATTCGTGAGCCGGAGAGGATCTTTCCTCGCTTGTGGCGTGGTCTTCCCTGCCCTGCTCTCCTTCGATTGCTACTTCGCAAGACGTAAAGGTCTTTCTCCTTCCATGCTGTTTGTTACCTGCGTACAAGACACCAGCTGCTAGGAGTGACCACAATGCGAAAAACTGAGATGCAGTAGCCCCAAGCTTATTGTCTACGTAAACCGTCCTGCTCGAGGTCTTTACGTCAACTAAACTCTGCATTGCATGGCGTTCATGCAAGATAGGTTCTAACGCTCGACAGCTAATCCAATTCCGCCGTAATTTTCCTCCGCTGTGGTTTCTGCCACACCCGTCAACACTTCTACTTTGTCGCCAAGATCTGTCTCGACAACACCGTGTTTTAGAGCCACTACGGAGTTTGTTTGCGGGGTCTATTACGTGGAAAAGAACATCCGGCTCGGGTATTACCGTCTTCAACGCTGCAGGATCTAAGCTCGATCGCGGTAAAGCCAGCTTCTGGGAATCTGCAGCATGTATAGACGCGAATTCTTGGCTCTCGAGGACGTCAAAAGCGGAGTTGGAGCTTGGAATTACACGGTCGTTTTTGTGTCGTGTTTACGGGATCATGGCGAGTCTCCAATTGTCGGGTTTTTGAGGGAGTGAGAGCTTTGCAGGAAATGGCATAATAGCAGAGGATTCCAGCGTGTTTCTGGAGGATATGATGAGTTGCTAGTTTTGAGATAGGAAGGTTGGTCCTGAAAAAAGTAGTCTCGAAACCTCTTTTTTCTTTAAGTGTACGGTTTCCTAGCTCAACAACACTTCATTCGCTTAACTTTATTACCAAAAAGGAACCCACACTCTCGTTATGCACTTTCTTCGCAACGCTGCTCTGGGCATGGCCATGGCCGCCCAATCGCTAGCCTTGGTGTCGAACTCGTCGTCGTCGTCGTCCGGCGTCGTGGGAAACTACATCGTGTCCACCACCACCGGAAGCACCACGTCGTTCGGTGACATGTACGTGTTCCTCCATACCACGGAACTGCAGGTTTCGGCGCCCGTCGACGGAATCACTTTCGAACTCGACCGCCGTTTGGGCGGTCTTCCTGGAGCTGACGAAAACGGCGACAGCGTTTTCAAGTTCGACTACGGTACCGCAGAGCTCAACAGCGGCAACATCACCGTCAACTTCACGTCGGTGCCTCCTTCCGGCCGCTACAACTTGACTTTCCCTACGTTCATCGGCCAGGACCAGAACCAGATCAGAGGCGAAAGCATCTACACCACCCTCTACGAGAACCAGGAGTTCAACAGCACCATCGACTACGTGCCATTGCCATCGGACCGCGCCGTTTTCAACTCCATCGAGTACGACTCCCAAAACCAAGCCTACTTCTACCTCAACATTCCAAAAGAGGCGTATCTAGGTGGTTTCACTTTCAACACCACGGGTCCTAAATCTTATTCCTACATCGCATACTCGTTTGATTTCGGATTCACCAGAACTCCCGATGACAGTGGTGCCACTTCTGACAGTTTCGACGACCCTGCTTCCACCGATAGTACAAACGACAGCGTTTACCCACAGGACTATGAACTCGACACTTCCAGCGGCGGCATCAATTTTGTCTACAACGGTAACATCTCTACAGCGACCACCTCCATGGCTGGTGACGATACTATTTCCTACATTGGTACTTACATCAAGTTCGAAGTCACTCCTCCAACTGGTACCAACGTTTTCGAATTAGATGCCACTTTGAGTTTCAACGGTGACCAGAAATTGACTTACTCCTTCCACAATTACGGTCACGGTCCCGGATTTTTGAACGCTTACGAAATCCCAGCTGTCACCGTTGGTGCAGGTAGTGCATCTTCTCCTTCTTCTGCTGGTAGCTCTTCCGCAAGTTCTGCTGCTGCTTCTTCTGGGTCTGCTTCTGCTGTTGCATCAAGCTCTGCTGCTTCCTCCGGTTTCAACTCTTCCAGCGGTGCCAGTTTCCCAGCTTCTTCTGGTTCAAGTGTTTTATTCCCCAGCGCCTCCAGCAACGGATCTATGGTCTACCCTGGCTCTAGTGCCTCGTCTGGATCCGCCTCTGGCTCTGGATTCGCCTCTAGCTCTGTTTTCGGCTCTAGCTCTAGCGCTGTTGCCGGCTCTAAAAACATTTCTGCTGGCGCAAGCACCACTACCACACAAAAACTTTCCACCACTGTGATCACCACTTGCCCAATTTGCACGGGTAAGGACAAGACCACTGCCGTGGGCGTCTCCACAGTGACCACCACTATCGGCGGCGTCATGACTGAATACACCACGTATTGTCCTCTAACTGCACAAACCGCTTCTTTGTCGGTGTCCTCTGGCGCTACTGTTAGCGCATCTGTGGCTATCTCTGAGGTGTCATCGGGCGTTTACACCGTTTACACCACGTATTGCCCATACACTTCTTCATCCGGCGCTGCTACCGTAGGTGCTGCGTCCTCTGCTTCCTCCTATTCTTCCAGCACTACTGCTCTCCTATCTCAATACGAAGCAGGTGCCAGATCATTGACCTTCAGCCTTGGAGCTTTGCTGCTTTCAATGTTGGCATTGATTTGAACAAAGAGTTTCAAAACCCCATTGACACAGGTTGACATTTATTCATCGTGTTGGGGAAAAGACAATTCTACAAACCAGATTCAATGATAAAGTATCTGGTTGTCTACAGTTCGTTATAAGATCCAAGACACAAATTCTTTAGTTTTGTTGCATAGTCACATTAATATTTTCAAATAACAGAAGTCGCTCTACAAGTGAGTGTACAGCGGTGCTTATGGGCCCGCAGAAGTGCTAATGAAAACTCACAGTATACCTGTCACCTCATTATTGAAATGATCAGTGATACAAAGTATAGTCTTCACTAGATATAAAGCTTCTTCCACTAAAAAAGCCGGTCGCTGAGTCCCTACCTGGGCAGCCTTGTAGAGACATATAAAGTAAAAGGTTTCAAAGTTCAGAAGAATGATTAGTCAATAGTAGATTACTGTATATATAAGCGCCTGTTCCCAAAGAAATCACAGTATTCGGCGATCGTTGTGCACTATGCAAAGTGTTTTGCGCCTCGGGAGACCATAAAGTCCTTGGATTTCAAGAGCCTGACGAACCAAGAAGGTGTTCTCCATCCGAAAAGTACACCGACACCACCGTTTCTGGAAATTGGAACTAGACCCATTTCTGGACTATCCTTTAGGGCTTTCTTTGAACCAGATGAACCGAAGATTACAGCATCGACTGTGGCGGCAAAAGTCGCATGTTGGACTCTTTCAATGTCAATGATGGAACAAGGACGATTGGAAATGATATCACCGTATGCCAAAACGTTTGGGTAAGCTTTGGTTACCAAATATTCATCTGTCTTCACGAATCCACTGCTGTCTAGCAGTTTTGCATCCAAATATTCTGAGTTTGGAATAATTCCATACGCCGATACTACAACATCGAAAGTCTTTGAAGTTCCGTCGCTGAAATGTACTTCAGATGATCCGTCACTAGTTTCGTCAACCTTAACCGATTTTGTTGTGTTCAATACCTGAACGTCGAGGCTTTCCAGCTGTTGCAATGCCCTATCGGTGACCTTTGAGTTCCAATTGACCAAGGGACCCGAGGCTCCGGTGTAAAGGGAGATTTTCTTGTCTTTGCCATAGGTGAGGCCCAGTTCACCGGCAATTTCCACGGCCGTGGGGCCACCGCCAAGAACGGCGATGGTTTTGGCACTTTTGATATTTTTCGACATTCCAAGCAGCGCGTCTTTGCTCTGCAGATAGTCACCTTGCAGCTTGAACGCAGGGGAGTGACTTCTGGACCCCGAAGCCAAAATCAAAAAATCGTACGAGACCGTTTGTTGGCTGCCTGTGGTGTTGTCTTCCACCAGCACAGTTTGGCTTTCTCCGTCGAGTTTGGTGGCTTTGCCCAACACGAAGGAAACGTTTTTGTTGCCGAGCTTACCGATTTTGTCTTTTATGGAGTAAAACAGCTGTTTTGTTACGTCAGGTTCCACCAGCGCTCTAGGTGCTGCCACGGCGAAATACGAGTGTGACGATTCAGCGATGACAGTGACTTTGACGGGACTCTTCGAGGCGGCGAGGATCTCGGCCGCGCCTATACCGGCAAAAGAGCCACCAATGATCACAACGTGAGGAACTTTACTCATTTTAGGTTTTGGCTTTTTTTCTTCTGACCTTATCAAATTTGTATAGATGTCTTCTGGTTCACCAGCGATGGATGTACTAACTTCTATGTAGTTCTATAAACTAAAAGGTAACTGGGTAATCGTAAACCAGCTTCAAGTCCCTGACCTATTTATACCTTTACAACGAACTACAGTTCCGCTTGAACAGAATGCTCTTGATTGTTGATCAACTGAGTTCCCCGGAAGCTTTTAATTTCCCGGGACCCTTTCTCGAGAGTTTTTCCGAATAATCCTGATAATTAATTTATCAGCATTACATATTATTATCAATCTTATAAATATCGGCAATATTAGATATTATCTGACCAAGGCTATGGGTCTTGACCATATAATTGAACAAACAACGCAAGAAACAGGAGGGATATCCTTTACGATGATGACGAGGTATTGGGAAGCTGGTTCTTGAGGTTTAGTTAGTAAGTAGAAATGTGTAGTTTTCAGCAGAGACTTTTAGCGTTAAGATCGGGTAAATCTATGTAGAGTTGAAGTGTAGTTGATGCGCAAGCTGTGAAAAGACGTTTGTTAGGGATAACGTAGGGAATAATGCGGTGTAAGCTGAAGTGCTGATTAGAATGACTGGCTGTTTGCTAATCTGAATGAGTACTTGTTTGCCAATGGATAGGGTTCTTTCAGTTAATAGACGGACGATAGACGGAAATTAGACATACACCGGACACTACTCGAATGCAATGGCTGTTGAGTATACTACTGTCACTGGGCTGTTCTTACCGATGTTCAATCGTAAAAGTCAATTCTAACAATACTCTATCTATCTGCATCCTATATCTTCATGGCACCGCGTGGTCCACTTCCACACTGGTCACAGCATCATTGGGCCATTGGAAATAACCCGTCTCGATCAAATCTTCGATCTCCGAGACTCTTTTACCCGTATCCTTCAAATAAGCCAAGCTGGCCTCCTTCAAAGGCTGAATCGAACTTCTCATCTTGATCTGGTCACTTGTCCACTCAACACCAAAATACCCGTCATTGCCAGCGTCACGAATTTCTTGGTTGAGTCTTTGAGTATACTGGACATCCATGGGGAATTTCAAGTCGTGGAAAGCACGTCCAGCCCCGTTGAGTTTCAAAAACCACTTTTCGTAATCTAACATTGTTTCCAGCGAGGGCAGTCCAATGCGGCCGCTCCAAACCCTAGCAAGCCATGCGCCTTGCGTTTCGCTCAGTCGTGTGGGCAACACATATTTGGGCAGGCCAATAACACCCAAAGTGGGCAGGTTATAAGCCACAATGTGATTGTAAAGATTGTGCACTTGACCACCGTCGGTGACCAATGAGGCTAGGATTTTGTCACCTTGCGATTTGACTTGCGAAACCGTAGGCAGGAACGGCAGAGACTTGAGATAACCAGTGCAAAAAATGATTTTCTCAACATTCAATATCTTGGTACCGTCCACGAAGTGCACGGTCTTGGTTTCTGGGTCCAAGTTCAATATGTCGGCCACATTTTTGATACGATCGTCGTATCCGGCCGGCATCAGCGATTCGGATCTTTTGCTCTTGTAAACGCGCCGTTTCAACTGGGTGGCCAACTCGAACGCCAGATCCGAGCCAGAAGCACTGTTTCCCACTACTATGATCTCGCCAGAGACGTTTTCAAAGTCTTCTGGAGCGTCAAAGTCCTTGGCGTGCGACACAGAAGACGGAAACTTGGTATGCCATTCTTTCAGACCTGGACGGTCTGGGACATAAGGGAGATCGTAGAACCCGCTGGCGATCACCACTGCATCGAATTCCTCCGTTAGCGAGTGGTTTGTGACTAAGTTTTTCGTGGAAACCAAATACTTCCTAGTTGCATCGTTGTAGCGCAAAGAAACTACTTCGTGGTTGAAATGCACGTACTGTTCAACCTCCTGAGAGTACTTGACGATGTAGTCGAGAACCTGCTCTCGAACGGGGAAAAGAGGAGTTCCCGGAGGAAACGGATATTTTTCGTATTCCATCAACTGCCGGGGCACATTGGTGTCTAGATACTTGTAGACCGCAGTTTGGAACACTATACCATTTTCCTGACTTATGTGCGGCTCGTTTTTCCCCTGTGGTGCTTCGCAGGGGATGGACGGACACGTCGTGATGTTTTGTTTCTTGAACACGGGCTTTGTGTAGTTCCACAGGCCTCCAAACCCGCTTCTCTTCTCGAAGATTTTGATTTTGCCAAACCAGTTTTCATGTATAAACGCCTTTGCCAGTCCTGCACCTACGGGGCCTGCCCCGATCACTGCAATTGAGCTATTTTTCTCCAGATGACCGGACGCCAGCTGGCTAGACGCAAATTCACCGATTGTCATGAGAATGTGAGAAATAAGGTATTTAATTCTGGTCTGTATCTACAAACTTCTCTAACATGACCTTGCGAACGTCTACACTTCCGCTATTCTGTTCACACCACACATCTTCATATATACTCATATGAATGTGCCCTACACACCTACTTCTCGGCGTAGCACCATGCTTCATCAATAATCACCAATTATCACCAGTTATCACCAATCATCATCCCCATAAGCTTATCACCATAAACTATAACCACTATCTCAAGACCTTCGGTCTTCGAACAATGGCAGCCTGTCTATTGTGGCTGGCACACCGAAACTCCATACCGTGCTGCTATCTCCGCTGAAAGCTCATGTGATAGGCTTCCGGCAATTGACAACTCGAGTTCGAAGACAACAACCTGCAGACGATTTGACTCCTGCTCATGATGTCTCCCAACATTAGGCTTCCTGTCAATACATTGGTGACTACTGTTCATCAAATGAGCTCACTAGCAGTTCCATCTCTGACTTGGAGGAACTTCGTTGGTGAAGATCATTATCATCAACGGTCTTGGCACACGCACTTAAGAACAGAAACTTATCGTCAGACCGTTAAAGACCGGTACGATAAGTGCGCTAATAAGACCGATCAGTTAGTTGCAAAGGGCCGAAAGACTCTATTCAACAGCCACTGCGGAAGCAGTGGCGGAGAAAACCATGTTGCCGGTCGAGACAAGCTCCGAACGGTATCAGCTCCATCCAATAGTGCGAATATGACAAACCCAGTGCACTCACATGCCCGAACGCTGAAATTTGGGGCTTCATGCTGTGACTTTGACGATGGATCCATTTCAAGCCTAAAGTTTAACCTTAGCACACCGTGAACTGCATCGCGGCGAGTACAGCGCAAATGCCAATGGATAAGTCGTGGACATGAGGAAAATACCAACAATCACCACTCCGGTCGCTAGAATATGAAAAGTTGTTATTATATTACGCTTTTGATGCTATTCACAGACTATTATTCCTATCTATGCCGAATCCTGCCCCTGTGTCGCTACACCTTCTCGATAGCTACCACGAAGGCCTTGTCACTGTCAGTTTGGGTAGCTTCGTGAGCAGCAAAGCCCTCAGATGGTACAAAGGCCTTGGAATGGCGGGCGCTTGAGCAAGTCTCGAACAACTCGTCAATCTGTTCCAAGGTGAGGCCCTTAGTCTCGTAGACAAAGAAGTACACGAAGATGAAGCACAAGAAAGTGCAACCGCCCCAGATGAAAAACACCTTCGACTGCAAGTTGGCGTGCTCGCTGTCAACAAGGTATGGGGTAGCATAGGCAATGGCAAAGTTGAAGAGCCAGTTGGAAGCTGCACACACGGCCACCGACTTGGCTCTGACTCTGAGAGGGAAAATTTCACCCACAACGACCCAGGCCAGTGGACCCCAAGTAGCCGCAAATGAGGCAATGAAAGTGCAGGAGAAGGCGATTAAAGTCTTGTTGGCAGAGAAACTGTCTGGAAGGGCTGTTCCCACAGCAGCAACGATAAGCTCGCTGACACACATACCGACAGCACCCCATAGAAGCAGGTTTCTTCTACCGGCAATCTCCACTAATGCAATACCTGGGATGGTCATGACGACGTTGACCACATTCATAATCAGCTGAACGATGAATGGATCCTTGATGCCCGAATTTTGGAAAAATTGTGTCCCGTAGTAGAAAATGAAGTTGATACCGGTAAGCTGTTGTAGACCCTGGATAGCGATACCGGTAAGAATACGCTTCAATTGGTGATTGGCTGGCTTGAAGCAGTCAAATACCGAGGAAGCACCGAATGAGCACTCGTAGTTGTAGTTGGCAACGATTTCTTCTAGTTCCGAAGCAATGAATTCGTGTTCTTCTGGCAGACCTCTCAATCTCGACAAAGCTCTGCTTGCCTCCGGAACTTTATTCTTCATGACGTAGAATCTTGGAGATTCGGGCAAGACCAACATACCAGCGAATAAGATCAACGCCCATAGAAGCTGGATGGCAATTGGGATTCTGTAAGACCCAGAGTCGTTTCTGGAATGGGTGCCCTGGTTGACACATGCAGCCAATAGCAAACCGATGGTGATTGCCCATTGGTAGCACGATGTCACCGCACCTCTAATCCACTTGGGAGACGCTTCTGCTTGGTATAGTGGGACGATGGCAGAAAGAATACCCACACCGGCACCGGCAATGACTCTGCCTGCTATTAGTAGGTCTTGTTTCGTGGCTGCTATTTGCAAGACCACACCCACGGTGAAAATGATGCATGAAATAATAAGTCCAAGTCTGCGACCCAAAGTATCGGACGCTAGTGGAGCCAAAATGGCACCACAGAATGTACCAGCAGAGAGAATCGCTGTGATTAGCGAAGTTTCGTTAGCGGTGAAGTGGCCCGCGGAAGTAAAGTGCTCTTTGACATAATCCATTGCCAAAACTCCAGAAATCGTTCCGGTGTCGTAGCCAAAAAGGATACCGCCAAAGGCCACGAAAAGGCCAACGGCAATGGCTCTGAACTTGGAGCCCTGAATGTTTTCCTCAGCATGGAAGAGCTTCTGAAGAATACCCATTCTTGCGAGAGTTGCGAAAGTTTGTAAATGTTTTTAACACTGTTGATGGTGTTGTTTGTTGATGGGGATAAAGCCTAAGAACAAGAGCAAACTAGATCCTGATACTTTTCAATTGATTTAAAGCTTTACCTTTATACTCAGCGTTTAAACTGAACCCCTCCCATCCGGTGTCTCTCCCATTGTGAACTGTAGATTCATTGTTGGTCCGCTGGACCTCTTCTCTCATTTGGAAAAGCCTGTTGTCCGCGGCAACAGGCGCCTGCAGGAAATTTGTGCATATATGGCATCTCGAGGAAAAAGTTTTTCCGTTTTTGTGTTTTTAACGCGGGAGAAAAAGCGGACAAAGGGAAAAATCGTCGGAGAAACAATTTTCCGGGGAACATGCAGAGAAGGGCCCTGCAGAAATCGAAAGAGAAGTGGGGGGAGCTGCCGCGAACATTTTGGACGATGTGTAGCCGCGTCATCTCCCATATTGCCGTAACATAGAGCTAACATAACGTTTGTTTAGTAGCTGAAAACTGTAGAAGTGTCTTAACTGTGTAGTCGATGGTTAGGTTCGATTCAGATGCAGTGAGTCTCGGCTCAGGTTTCTGGTTTACGTTAAACTTTTTCTGTCATAGATGTTATGTAATTTTTCAATGCCAGCTCGTCCTGTAGAAGAAACGACTGAGACATAGAGCAGCAACTAGTGCTGAATGATTCGATTTTGGATTTACGGAATCATCGGGTTAGCTCAGAAACGCTAAAGTAGGGATGTGTTGAACGTTGGGCTGAGTGGGGTGACCTCCAGAATTGCAGGACCAAATAGAATATTCGCATCCGTCAAATTTTGAGAATTGTCAGAGGTCAAAAACGCATATGACTGGCCTGAAAGTTGGGCAGGCACATCGGCAGAAACCAAGTTGTCGGATACTGTGGCCGCCACGGGTACAACATCCAATCCACTCACAAATGTGATGTACGACTGCGAGGAAGGCAGCTGACCGGCAGCAGAAAATGAGACGCTGATATTCTGCGCAACAGGCATTCCCTGGGCAAGCTCGAGCGCTGGATAGGCCCTGAAAGGCAGAGCCATATTCGAAGATGGACACGAAACGATGAACTGCGATGCTAGGGAGTACACGGCGTTTGCACCCATTGGAGTAGCAAATGGGTTGGCCATGGGGATCTCGCCCACCGCATTGCGCGAAGCAGCTTGGTGGAGCGCCTCTGTGGCTAAGATAGAGCCTGCGACGGTTAGGTACTGCTTAGAAGTTACGAGGGGAGCGGCACCCAGATACGCAGATATTCCAACACCATCAATAATCGCTGCCAACTGCACGAATTCTTGCGGCGTGGTGACGGGAAAGCTGTAAGAGCAAGCTTCCACGGGAGTCACTCCAGCGGCTGTCAGAGCGGTCTCCAGGAACGACACGTGGGTCTCCTCGTCGTGTGTAATGTACTTCAGTTGTGTGTAGAAGTCTTCCGTGAAATTGGCATTGGTGAAGTCGTCCTGTGTATAGTTCGATAGAGCTTGCTTGAAGAAAGCATTTTCCAGGTGTTCCAAAGTCAAAGCAAACTGTAAGATATCGACATCAATGTCGTCTCTTTTTTGGAGTTGGACTGGGAACGCCAGGACAGTGGATGACACGAAAAGGGCGGCATATGCTGCAGGCTTCATTACGACAGGAATTAAAACGGTTTCGAGTGAGATAGCGAGGAAAGCCGTTATCGATACGAAAGAAGGCACCATCTAAGAAATAGTAAGTCGTCATGATAGCCAACAAGTTCTTCTTTTATACCACTTTTCCAAGTTTAACGAGAAATGCCATCGCCGCGCCCGGAAGCAATGCTTGTTAGACCATCTCGCTTGCTAAATTGTCCCGCATGTGCTGAAATGGTTGTCGTTCCCTTCCCAACACTTCTTTGAAATCCGAGATCGCTGCAGCCACCATCAGTTCCCATTATGTTCCGATGTGTCAGCATTCTACTAGAGATCAGAGCTAAGGTGCCTAAATTAACGGTAAAAACCCGAATGTTGAGGGAAACGAACCCAACCTCCATTGTTCCCGGCATAATTAGCTGGCTGCAGATGACGTCAAACTCGTCTCTTTTGGATGACAACCGGCATCCTTGTTGTACCCTTCTACTGTCAAGTATCTAGTATGGTTGCATGGTTACCGTCTGACAGCAATTACTTAGCCTTTCTTGGCTGCAGGGGCTATGTCAATGCGATCGATGATGTAATACACTGCATAAACGACAACATGTGTGAGGTCATGGAAGGAGCAGAAGCAAATTGTTGTAGTGTCTTCAGGGAATAGATCCCACTCATCGGCTGTATTCAAGGCGATGACGTCTTTCATTGTCATACTTCACCAAAAAATTGAGCGGTACGAGAATCGAACCCGTGTCCCAACCTTGGAAGGGTTGGATGATAACCACTACACTAACCGCCCTAGATGTTGGAAGATTGGAAAATGAGAATAGTATAGCTCTTGTTGTGGTGCTATGACGAATGGACAGGCTCAAACTCAAGGAATCTCAATCCGAAGGTAAAGAAGATCCTGGAAGGTTGAGGTGAGGTTATAAAGGCCTACGCGAGGAGCTGAGGCTCCACATAGAGTTCGATATCAAATACTCCTTCAAGACTTTACCAGGAACCAAGAATGACATATTAAATAGGATCTGTAGACCGAATTGAAGAAAGTGAGCTATGATAACGCAATACAAGCATTTGAAGCTGTCCACTGGAAACTGTGGGAAGGGCCTCTGAGACTGGAACAACGCGGAAATGTCGTTGAATACACCAACGGATTCACGAACAAGGTGGTATTCTTTCCACCGGAAAAGCTAGTTCCGGAATACCTATTAATTATGCTACTACATAGTCGGATTGAAGCAAGATCTTCGTAGGGAAGTGGTGAAACAGAAGCACAAGACCTTGAGTGAAGCTCAGGAGTGTGTCTCTGAAGCTGCAGAGTATACGGACGACGAAGAGCAAAAACAGGCTTCTGAGGGTGTAAATACAAGTAAAGAACATAACACTGGGGTAGAATATGATAGGTGGACATCAAAGAGAGTGATGAAGCCTGGGAACAATGAAATATTGCACAATCGAGCATACTTCACCAACAAAAACAGTGTGTTTGAGCTGCAACAAATCAGGACACCACAGTAGAGAATGTCGTATTAAAGACCAAAAGGAGTGGGAACTTAAACAACTGACGAATAACGACCGGACAGGCTGAAACAGATGGAACCCCAATACGAAGGTCAAGAATCTACTGAGAGGTTGAGATAAGGGTATAACAGGCCAAGTGAGGTGCGGAGTTTTTGATTTGAACCTCACAAGGAACCCAGAATGACATAAGATTGAGGGTTTCAGAAACAAGCAGAGTAAGTGCAGCATCGACAGAAGAAAAACAAGCTTGATATCAGAAAAAGACCAAGACATTCAACAGGATTAGAGACCTTTCATAAATTCTAGTAGTTAGTGATGCGCACCCACGACGTCGAGCATGTCGTGTGTAATTATTACTCACTAGCGAGGTTTGAAGTAGACGTTTTGTCTATACTGCCTGATCTTATTCCCGAAGAATCTTCTTTTACATGTTGGGCCTGGGGTTCCCGCGTTCTGCGTGGGGTGCTTATATATTTGTTCTTGACCCATATTGGTGGTACCTACGAAATGTAACTCCAGTTTGTCATGTTGTGTCTTCTTACCTCAACCGAGCAGCAGCAGCGTCCTTCAGACAAGCCAAGACGCTATGATGAGGTCCTATTGCGGCTGCTTCTTTTTAAACACATTTTGTCAGCACTCGTAGTTTGCATTCACTTGGTGAGTTGAGTCCGGATCCAACCGCGTGAGCAGGGGCCTCACATATGCTGTAAATTTCCTGCAACAAGCCTTTATGCTATAACGGTTCTTGTTCTTACAGAGAGTCGGTGAGCACTTTGCAGAAGTGGCCAGGCGTAGAAAACTGACGCTAGGATAAAATTATTCTTGAACTTGTATTACGATGTCAAGATCCGATTCGGCACGGTCAACAACTGATGTATAGTGCAGCCGTTTGGCTCTAAAACTTGGCAAATTATACATACACACCGCACTAGTGTATATATACTTTATAATGTACAATGTTCTTCCTCTCCATCTTTCATTAAGCGAAGTGAATCCCAACCTGATGGAAAGCGTACAAAAGCTGCAAAAAGTCTGTTTGATCACACTTTCCAGCTCTTTTAGCTGAAAGACCGGTGCTGTTTAAAACAGCCTCGATTTTTTGCTTGACAACATCTATCATCGAACCGGTCGAGTCGTCAACCATCTCCGATCCATCATTTACGGCTGCCAGGTATGCTTTGTAGTTCTTTTCCAAGATTTCAAGTACAGTATTGGATTTAAATCCAGCGGCAATAGTCCTGTTTTTACGCACAAACACTATGCGCAACAATCCATCCCATTCGTTGAAATCTACCCGAGGTCTTGGTTGTTTGATCTCAATACGCACAACACTGGATTCCACCTGCGGTGGTGGTCTGAAATTGTTTTTACCAACTTTCATGATGTGGGTGACGTTTGCCCACATTTGGACATTAGCAGAAAGTCGACAATAGAGCGAATCTCCCGGCCTTGCTAGCAACCGCATGGCAAATTCCCTTTGGAACATGAGAATCGACACTCTTGGAGGCTGTGGTTGGTTTATTAGCTTGAAAACCAACGGTGACGATATCTGGTAAGGTGTATTACTTATGCAAATATCGAAATAGGGTAGTTCTGTTTTCATGAAATCGCCCAGCAGAATATCTAGCTTTTTCTCGCCAGCAGTACCATGCACACGTTTGGTCAATTCCGCACCCATTCGAGGGTCCATTTCAACGGCAATGACCTTACGAGCCTGTTCCAAGATACGTACCGTCAAATTACCAGTACCAGGACCCACTTCCAAGACCGTATCTGAAGGCTTTATCTGTGCTTTGTCCACAATTCCCTGTGCTACTAACGGGTTTTTCAAGATATGTTGGCCCAGATCCGTGTTGAACTTGAACACAGAGCTCAGATGTTTGTCCGCTGACACTTGTGGACCATTGCCCGTGGCGGTCGTGAATTTTTTTTTGGCGGCTTTGCCCATGGCTAAGATAGATATTCAATCAAATGGAATTCAGGTGTCTTCTCTGGAAAGATTGAGCACCTAGTTACCGAAACGTTTTCCAGTTTAAAGACGGTGCGATGAGCGATGAGCGATGAGATGCGATGAGATGCCATTTTCCAAAAATTTTAATAGTCAGATGACCAGAAAGATCTTCATAACTATATACGAGGAAACGTCTTGGATCAATAAACGTACAAGGTGACTTTTCACAATTTTTATTTTCGTATTACATTATCATTAATTACGCACGTGATAATGTGATCACGTGTTAGAACTTCACATTGGAACTATACGGGTGGTGATGGTCTCTCGGACAGGAATTGCTTGGTTCAGTCTCCAGGTGTTTCCACTCAGAGTCTACTGTATGATGGAATGATCTCTTTGCAATTGTGACTCATTACTGAGCTCTGTGATTCCCTTCGAACCCAAATCTTAATACGTTCAGACTTCCTGGAATAATCGCCTAATCTATCGACTGGTCAATCGTGAGGTTCAAATATGCATTTCCAGGAGTCTTAGAATGCTTGATGATCGTAAATAATTTTCCATTTGTGTTTCCTAGCTCCAGGAGTCGATGCTTGAGGATCCTATGATAGATTTCGAGGAAAGCGACTTCGAAGGAGATTTAGAAGGCGATCTCGATTCGCTATTCTCAGTAGTGTAGACTTCCCACGTTCCAGCGTGATCATCCACATTCAAGTCGGCCATTGGTTGTCTCGCAGGCGAAATTTGCACCTTTTGCTCGCTCCACTCAGTATGCTTCGCATTGTTTTCGTCGTCCGCAACCAACAGTGGTTTGTTCTTCTTTAGTGATCGTAGCTTCTCTTGCTTCAGCGTTACCAAATCCTGGCTTTCTGCAGATTCTTCAAAGAAGTGGAAAATGCTTGTCTTTCCCAAGGGATCACCACCGTTCTTCGTGGGACTTGTTCGGGTGGGACTAGACCGCTTGGATTGAGCTTTCGGCAGAAGTTCCGCTCTCTTGGGAGAAAAGTTGTTGGAGCGATGGTTTACATTTTTGCCGGAAAGAGCACGACGTACTTTGGTGGGAGACTTGCTGTTCATGTTGATGGAATAAAGAGGTAAAGTTATCGAAATTAGACAAACGACGATTACTCAAGAAGCTTATTGATCCGGAACTTTGTGCAATGATAGTTGGGAAGTAGCTACAATATATAGTTTCCGTAGGCATATATACATATGCTTTTCAGTGGAAAGATTCTTAACCTTTCCCAAGATCACGAAAATTGGTTGTTATATCGACAGCTTACAGCAGCGCGAAATTTGGAAAAACGCCAATATGTCTCCCCAGCTAGGGAAAATAGGTCGTGAAGAAGCCTATTTAGGGTGTTAAGAGTGCAACGCATCAGCACAGTTCATTAATCGTGATAGGTACATATTAAGTATGATTGGGCTTTGCCGGTTAAGCTTACTCTTTCTTACCGTCGTAGTCGTAGTCAACACGAATGAATAAGGTCGAAAAAATGTAACGCTCGCCGCTTTCGCTGTGAAGAGGAACGTGCCGATAACCCTGTCGTAGATAACTTAGCTTCAGACAGCAGGTGGCTAGCTCGGTGTCGGCGGTTTTGACTTTGAAAAGTAGAAAATTGAAAAAAGTATCTTCAAGCGTAATCTTGAACTTGGTTTCCCACACGGGGTTGAAACCGTTCTCGCCGCGGTTGGGGGTGCAACCTGAAGTTTCTGATTGCACCAGTCCATTTTCGCTTTCTAAGGGCTCTATCGGTTTATTGTTGCTAAAAATGTTGAGGTTTACGCTAAAGCAGGGAAACGCCTGTTTCTGCTTTTGCTTAAAATCCTTCGGTTTAGGGAGCATCTGCGCAGAAAGAATCTCTACTCGTAGAGAAACATTGCGTTTCTCGAGACCCTTCCGCATAGTCTTAATATCATTAGCTTTGGCTACGTTGTTCAGCAGATAGTCCGGCTTCAAGACATAACCAGAATGCCATAAAGGTGCGTCTTCTAATGGTAGCTGGAACATGGCCTTATTGATCTGTTGACCTATGTCAAACGTCTGCCAATTGGTGGCAACAATCTGGACACCGAGTTCCCAAAACTTGATAGGATTAAAATTTGAGGATTTGTACCGCAATGCGTGCGGGTACACCCTCATAAGGAAACGCCGATTATGCTTTTCGACAGCCAGCTTTTGCAACTCATCTTTCGCCAGATTCTCAAGCTTTTTCTCGTTCAACGAGAAGCAATGGTTTTCTGTTTTGGACTCCGGTAAGGAAAAATTTCTGAATTTGAGCCCATGAATGAGCGACATCGCTACCAGGCTATCAATAACATGCAATTTCGTCGAAATGCTGAGCCGTCGTCCAGATCTCTTTGGCACTTCAAACTCAGAGTCATACGAAGAGCTTGTGGACGACGTTACAGAGTCTTCGTCCTGCAAAGACTTTGGTACATCACTCTTGGATTTCTTGACCTTGATCAAAAATTTATGCTTCAGATCTGCGGGGGAGGGAAGTGTATCCTTGACTGGACGATTGAATATGTTACTGCCCAGCTCTTGTCGGAGAATGTTGTCCATAATAACCTGATTTGCGGGCTTGCAATGCACCTCCAAAGAAAGAACTAGGGGATAAGGAGAAGTGATGAATGCATATTTTCGCACCACTTTTATTACATTTCCAAGAGGTAGCGAACCCGTTAGTCTGCCATGGCAAACTACAGGACCATCCTCGGAATCCCATATGTCGATCTCAATGCACCTACAGCCTTGTTGCAACGCAAGCACGTAAGTTTCCACTGTTGGATTTTCTCCCAACTGTTTGCCCTGTAGGTAAGTATTGTGCGAGGAGGAAATGAAATATTTGTTGATTGGATGTGAATAATCGGTTCTAGTATCATCCAGATACGGCTGAGAGGTCATATATTTTCGGAACCCCTCTAGCGTCATTAAATCGTTTCGTTGGCTGAATTTTCGGAAGTCGCTTGTAATTTTAACGAGGTCCTGTTCTTCATGCTGTTGCTCTATAACAAAGCGGATGAAATCATTTAAATTCAACTGATCGGTACCCTTCGTTATACCGCGCCAAATACTGTACACTTCCGGCCGGCATTTGAGCTCTCGAACAAAGCTTTGAAACTCTGGAAAACTAAGGAGACCATTGTTATTGATATCCGCTACGTCGAAAAGTCGTCGTAAGTAGCGGCTGGAACAGAATATATTGAACTTGGCACATAGTTCTTCCACGTCTTGAAAGGAAAGTACGTCTATGTCATCGGCTGCTTTCTCAGCAGAGACGTTGGCACGCCAATGGACGTTGGCGAACATCTCATCATCCGGATCTGAGATACTTCTCATAAGGTAACGCCTGGAATCCACCATGCTGACGATACCTACGTACAAACATTCATGATCTACATGGTTGTGGGCCACTAGATGCAATGCGCGAAACTTGGTACCCAGTTGATATATGATGGTGACCCAATTTTTGGCCGCTACGTTTGAAGCCTTGTAATCCTCAATGTAGTTCTTCGCCATTTCTCCGGTTCTTACATCTTTGATGGTATCGATGCCGATGCTCTTGGTGTCACGCCAATGAAGTTTACCGCTTTCAACACGAAAAATGTGTTCGATTTGTTTCTTACGACTAACTTTGGTCAATACGACTCCATTTTCGAGTCTTGTGTACAGGTTTCTGAGATGATCATCGCTCCATGGAATGCCACCGTCTTTCGTAAAAAAAGCGTCACTGTAAGTCACAGGTCCCAAAATAGGTGCCTTTTTCAGTGTTTTTGTTCGTGACACATAATTAGCGGTCCTGCGTATGATATGTTTAACTAACTGTTTCGATGGTTCTTCAGAAGCATGTTCTTCAAAATTATCACCGAATCGAGGTGAAGATTTGTCCAAAATGACAAGACCATCTTTATGACTTCTTTTGAGCCAAAACTGTGGTCTTGAAGATGCCCTTTTCGTCGGTGGTTCACTAAAGCTTGTGCTTCCCATCTTGTCTCTGTATGCTCACGTTTTAGCCCGCTTTTTCAAATATACCAAGCTCAAGTCGGCACATTCAGATTGTTCACTCACCCGACTAATGAAAATATCTTTGATAACGTTACGATCCGGTACGTCTGATCGTTGATGGTTGCGCTTGGCATCTGATGTTCAACATCAAATCGAGAATTAGAATAGTCTTTGGTTGACTTGTAAGTTTAGTCAATTTAATTGCAGCTTAGGTAAGCACGAGGTCGAAAGTTGACACTTTCTTTGGAATACTTCAGATTCCAAGATGGGCAGGATCGAGCTTTGAGGTACCACTTTCATTGGATCTGACAAGTGGTTGATGATAGGTTGTGCCAAATTGTGTTTATGGCACTTGAATACGGGAATTTGCGACCTCAGGTTCGAAAAATAAGCTATTTTCTGATGCAGTAGTTCGGTAAGGGAAATGTCAGGTAGAGGGTCGGGGTTTGCATTTCGACTTGGGCTTGGAATGATGCTAGTTGATATTTCATCGCTATTGTATGACTGCGAGAGGTTGGGGATACTCTCAAAGTTAAGTCGAGCGGGTTGTGAGATCGATGATGGCTGGTACAGTGGTTTGAGCTTCACAGCGGACTTTGGGGTAGTGTTTACCATGACTGGCTTGATGTTCATGCGCTTGAACAAAAATGCTCCAACACTGGTAGAGCGCGTTTGAGTTGACCTTTTCTCGACAGGTTCTTCCTCTCGTAAAGACAACTTCTGGACATGTGACGCTAGATCTTCGTCTGTATCTGCCTGTGAGCGAAGTTCTTGTATCTGTGATCTGACTTCAAGCCACCGATCGGCAAGCTCGTTGGACTGATCGGCCACATCGACGCTAAGCACAGAGCTATGGAGAGCCTGGTATACGATATTAAAGTTATTTTCAATTTCCTGCTGGAGTGACACGAGTTTAGAGCGTTCTAACGTTCGCAGTGTTGAGCGGGCTGCTTGTTCAGTGACCATGGCACTAGCGGCCACTACGTCCTGTTCAATGATTTTGTTCAAGCTTTTAAAGAGCTCCTTCCAGCGAGAGTTTACAAGCTCTTCCTTAAGTAAATAGAAAACAACCAGCAGTGAGTCGTGTTTTTGACCAAGGTCATTGTGTTTTGTTTTCAAAATATTGACCAAATATTCAGCATGGTTGATCTGACGATTGCCAAAATGCTCAATCCTGTGGCGTAAAGTGTGTCGTAAGTTTTCTTCCAATGGCTCTATAGTATCCCTGATTGTGATGAATTTCTCGAAGAGGTCAGAATCCTCGAAAAAAGAAGGCACTCGAGCAAATCCCGTATCGGCACACTCCGAAAGAATGCTGCTGACTCTCTTTTGAATGTCGAAAGAAGCCCGCGAGATTTCCGAGCTTTTCATGCCCTCTTTTATTTCAAAACATTTTTCAGCATTTCCGTCTATCAATGCATCCAGTGCCAGGATGTTGTCGTTGAGAATTGCATTGAACTCTAGCCCGCTTTCCAAAGCATACCTTGAAGATCGCAGCAGAATCTTTAAACGATCAAGTCTCATCCAACAGTCCTCGAATGTGTTTATCAAATTATGCAGTTCCTCGTCCTCAGCTCCATTTTCGACCCAAGACTCTATTTCGTCAAGCCGTTCTATCAAGCCAGCCTCTATATCTGTGATTGTTTGAAACACCCGGTAGAAATCGTTTTTGACCCTGTTCATACCCGCGAATCTCTCGAGCACTTCTTCATCGGAGCATTCTAGGTCAAAACGGGACTCTAAAACTCCCTGCAAATGTTGCCATTGTCTTGATAATTCGCTGAGATCAGCGATCAGCCGGCCCCGATGATGACCTGCATCTTTCTTGATTTTCGGAGACAGAAGAGTAAGGACTTTCAAAGTTTCAACAAGGATACTCGGATTAGTTTGAAACGAGACGTTCAGTTCCATTGGAACAGCATTAGCCGAAGGTTCATGCGTTTTAGGGCTCATTGTTCGGACTCGATGCGTGTAAGACAGTTTGTTGATAATAATGTTGAGTGCTGTCGTCCACGGTTACATGTGAAAGAGACGATAGTAGTGTCTTGTCTAATGCGGTCCCGTCTTTCAACATCTATTCAATTGCCGAAATTCAATCGGTGGGATTGGGATCTAAGCTTCAAAGCCAGAGATGAGCTTTTACCATTTTTTACTTTGTTTCTTAAGCTCAGGTCAAATTCTTTCTTTCCCACTATTATGAATATTCTATTAACACTATCACTTACGCTCTCTTTAATATGTACATGTTATGCTTGCTTCCGGATTTTATCAATTGTAATTTGTCCAGTATGATTTGTAAGGGTTTGCTAATTGTGCACGCGAATGACCGTTTGATCAAGGTGTTAGCTTAGAGGACTTTTGATCGAGAGTGAAGTCGTGGGCAACGTGTTCGCGCACTTCATCATTTACTTTGTTGTTTTCGACAGCATCTTCGGCTTCATCAGATGTACGCGAATCTTGTGCAGAACTTGCAGTTTCTCTCTTCTTTTTCTTGTCATTCAGCAGCTGGAAAAGCTCACTTTTCTCATTTGCATACAACTCGCGGAACTTGCCCATTTCTACAACTGATCCATCGTGACCGAGAACAATGACATTTTCTGATCGTCTAATCGTACTGAGTCGATGTGCGATGCTTATGATAGTTAATTCCTTGCTCTTCATCAATCTACCCAGTGTATAATTGATGGCACCTTCGCTTTCCACGTCAAGAGCGGACGTTGCCTCATCCAATATCAATATCTTGGGCTTTTTGATCAAAGCGCGAGCGATCGAAATTCGTTGCTTTTGCCCTCCGCTCAAAGAAGCGCCCCTAGGACCAATGACTGTGTCGTAGCCCTCAGGAAACTTTGTTATGAAGTTATGACAGAAGCATTTTTTGGCTGCTGCACGGATTTCTTCCATCGGGGCTTCGCCATTCAACCCATATGTGAGGTTGTATTTGATGCTTCCTGACATCAGCATTGGCTCTTGCTGAACCACACCAAGATGGCGTCTCAGAGACTTACAACTGACCTTGGAAATATCCTGTCCATCAATAGTGATATGTCCGCTGGTGGGGTCGTAGTAGCGAAGCAGCAAAGAGGCAATCGTTGATTTGCCTCGACCCGATGGCCCCACAATGCACACATTTGACCCAGATTCGATGGTGAAGTTGAGGTTGTTGAAGATCTGATTGTTCGCCCTCGTAGGGTAAGCAAAAGAGACATCGTGAAATGTAATTTGGCCAGAGCGAGGAACAAAAGCTTTCCCCGAGGTTGGCTTTATCTTTGACGCATGGTCTGTCATTTCAAACAGTCTCGAGGCTGCACCTGCCCCTTTCATGAGTTCAGAGTAAAAATTTGAAAGACCAAAAACTGCCGATCCTGTGTATTCCGTGTAGAGCATGAAAGCGGTTAGATCACCAACCGATAGGGCACCTTGTAGGACAAGCTGAGATCCGTAACCCAAGACAATAAGGAAGCTCAAGTCGCCAAGTACACCTGTAGAGCTAAAAAATGTGGCATTGGTCAAAGCTTCCTTCTTTCCAAACGAAAACACCTTCCTAATCGCCCTGTTGTAGCGACCAAGCTCCTTTCCCTCGGCCACAAAAGACTGAATAGTTTTAACTCCATTGAGTTGCTCTTCTGAAACCTTGGTCAAGTTACCGGTAGACTCCTGAAGCTCCCTCGATATCGCTCTAATTTTTTTCCCGTATATTGTCGCTCCCACCAGTAGTGGAGGAGCGAATAGTAGCAACGCTGAGGTTAAGGATGTGGAAATACTAACCATCATACCGATACCAACACCACCACAAATGATCGCTTTGAAACCATCGGAAACATTCTGCGTCATTGACCGCGAAACGACGTAAGCGTCCGAACTCAATCTTGAAATTAGATCACCTACTTTGTTGTGGTCGAAAAATTCTGCGTCTTGGTGCAGAATCTTTTTGATAACTTTAGACCGCAGTCGAGCGACCAATTTCTCACCCAATACCCTGAGTAGTACGATTCTACCAAAATTGGCAACAGTTCCTAAGACTAAAGCTCCGGCAAAAACCCCAAGAAATTCGTACATTCCCAAGTTTCCAACTATGGGGGGTAGATCATCCAAGCTGGTCGGTCCAGAAGCCGCAGCGTACGCATTTTTGATAGAATCCAGGACCAGACCAATGACTTTCGGTATGGCCATACCAACAGACGAGCTGATGGTTAATAGTCCGATGGCAAGACACAGCAGTTTCCAGTCATGTCGAGCCAATTTGAATAACCTCCATACTTCTTGGAAATCCATCTTGGAGCTGACTTCCTCGACTTCCTTTCCCGCAGATTTTGGAGTATCTTCAGCAGCTTTCTGAGCTTCAAAGCGTGTTACGGAAGCGGAAAATTGGCGCACGACGTATCTAAAATCAGGACGTGAGCCTTGAGGCCCAAAGATTCCGTGTTCCCTTCTCAAAATCAGAGACTTATGAACCGGCGTTGCGCTCCTGTGCATATGCCGAAGTAAAAGTGGAGGGCGTCTCAGACCGTCCACCACGCCGCTGGAACGCAGCAATTGCAGCGATCGTACCAACATCTATTCCACAGGGGCGATATGAGAGCCGACTAGTGACCAAGAGGGGTGGTTTTAAGAACGAAGACGTGCACCTTTGACGTTTGATTCTCAGAGGCTCAGTGTAATTGAATATCGAACATATACAAGATACATATGTTATGTTGAACGGTATGGTTGGAATATGAAAGTATCACGTGATCATTTGAATCACGACGTGTTGTTCTCTATGGCAGCTATTTCGAACTATGGGTGAGAATACTGATGGTGCTCCACTACACCGCTCTTCTCTCACGTAGTTCAATTGAATTTGCGTCTATCGATGCTCATCTGCAAACTGGTAATTAATTATCTAAGTAATAAGAAAAAAAACTAAGAAGACACGGATTCCTGGAACGATTTTGATCGAACCTGGCGAAACCACCCTCACATAGCCCTGTCTCTGCCAAAGACGCGTTGAACTCTAGACTATGTCTCGAGGTTCCAAATTCCCCAAAATCACGATATACGATATTAGTATATATGGGAACCTTACTCAAGTAACCTACGATAACTGCATGGTCTCTCGACCTGGGTCACTTTAGTTCACACCTCGTCAGTCTGTGCAACATGGTGTCCAATCTCGCAGCGTTTTCTCAAAGTTTCTATTTTATTACTGGTTTTGGCCCTGTTCTGTACAGGGCCAAGACACGCATTCTTATGAATATACATAACATATGATCGGGAACGCACCCATTTCAGCACTTTCCCTTTTCAAGAATAGGTGGTCTATTTCTTCAAAAGAGTAGCATCGGCAGTGGCATTGCCGTTCTCGTACTTCACAAACTTGGCGTCAGTCTTGCCTCTGGACAAGACTTTGGTGTTTTGGACCTCGGTTTTCAAAGCGGAACGAACCGTTTGAGCGGCGATAGCCAAGTAGTTGTTGTATGTCAAACCAGCTTTTCTCCACGCAGACATTATGACGTTGAAACACTCGAGTTGACAAGCTTTGCTGAGATTATTGAAGAAGAAGCCAATCTGAGTTCTGGTAGTTAGTTGAACCTATGTTAATTGACTGTAGATGATTTTCTATTGGAGGAAAATTATTATGAATATTTAAGTCACGTGTGAGAGATCTCCAGGACCGGGTAACATTAGTTGAAAAATTAAAAATTAAATCACGTGCTATCAAGACTTTCAATGGTAACTATACACGAGTACGGGCATCGCCCGTAGTACTAACTTTTCAACCTCGAAAACTATCTCTTGATACAACGAAGACAACTACCGCTAGCAGCAGACAAGACAGTCGTCAAGACGTCTCATATTGCTTTTAATCGTGTTCTGCGGTCATAAATAACCTAGAAATATGAAAACAACCGACGAGTCTGACGCAGTGTCGACCAAGATCGATAGAGATCTCTTCTATAAACTAGCGTCTGATCTTTCTGAAGAAAGGTTGCAAGCAACCGTTAACCTTGTTACGGAGCTCTCTAAATTATCAAAAGAATCTTCCGAATGGAGCTATGTGCTCTCCAGACTCATCAACGGGCTTTCTTCCAGCAGAAATGGTGCCAGGCTCGGTTACGGCCTGTGTCTCACAGAGGCTGTGTTTTTGGCTTTACAAAACGAGGTTCTGCCCGACATTGGCCATTACACCCAGCTGCTTTTTTCGTCGTTATCAAAAGAGGCTGTTAAAAATGGCAAAGAAGAACGAGGTTTGATTTTTGGCAAGCTTTTTGGCCTTCAAGTCCTATTGAATGAGCCATTGTTTTCTCACGTCTTCAAGACTGGCGATGCCAAATCTGGATCCCAAGTTTTGAATCTCGATTTTACCTTAGAGTACGCTACCGCATTGATTGATGTCGCTATTACCAAAACGTGGATTCGTGAATCTGCTCTATACACGTTGTATCAGGCCATTGAGAAATTGGCTCCGCTGTTCACATCTAGCGCTACAGTCAATGCTATATTCGGGCTATTGGATAAAAGCCACCTCACGCTCACCAGCGAAGGTCTCGCTATTTACATCTTCCTGTTGCACACTTGCCCTACAACTAAGAAACTATCTGGGCTCGATAAGAGTCAATTGCAGAACTCTTGGAAAGGCGGAGACCCTTTAAAAAAAGGAAACCTCCCGCTGATCGCAAGTGCTCTCAAAGAAGCCAATGTATCTGAAGATACGTCTTTAAAGCAAAAAGCTGTTTGGGCTCCCCGCTTACACTTTGTATGGGATGTTTTACTGCCCGCCATCCTAAGCACTGGCATTGAAAACAGCCACGTCTCTGAAAAACCTGTCTCCAAGAAAAGGAAAAAAGATTCACATGATAAGAAGCAATTGATAGAACTTCCGGAGTTTTGGAAATCAGTCATTGACGACTCTTTCTTTAGCGAGAAGGCTTCGAGTGAAAGGAAATATTTGGGGTTCTTAGTTTTCGAGAAGGCATTAGAACGGGTTCTTAGTTCGAACCTCTCAGACATTTTTTCGACTAACTTCATGAGATGCCTAATAAACCAATCTGGTAGTCCCGAGAGAAATCTCCATAAAATATCTCAAAAATCTCTAAATGCAATCTTGCGTGTTTGTCAAGAGAATCCAGAAAAGACGGCACCTGTTTTGGAGGCAATTGCCTTCAGTGAGACGGGATCTATACATTTCGACAAGCTCACGAAATCTAAGACAATCACCAATCTGCTGGCGATTAAGAATCTCCATAGCGAGCATCTCCTCAATGTGGTAGAAGTTCTGGGTCAACATCTTTCCCAAAATGACAACGACTTTTCCACAACGAGGTTTGCTGTTGATGCTGTACTCCATCTTATAAGAGCACATAAGGTACAGACTGACATTTCATGGATTGAACCTTGTCTTGACCTGCTTATACAACTTGGCTTCTTCCAAAAACATGATCTTTTGGACACCGCTGAAACTCATATTCCTACCCAATCGATCAATACAATTGCTGTTGAAAGGCTTTACTCTGTCCTCGCTGATCTCCTTTCTGCAGAAAAAGGTCCTTCCAAAATTTGTTGGCCGTATTTGGCTCTGGAGAAGGTTCTTGTCAAACAGAGGAACCGAAAGCTTATAAATGCGGTAGATGACGAAATCAGCAGCATTTTCTCCACTGCCGAGACAGAACTTCAGACTGTCAAAAACAAGCTATTGGAAGATCAATCTAACATTCAATTATGGGCTCTACAGTTACTTTTCTCAGTCAATCTTTTAGAAGCGTACTCAGGCGAAGCAGAGTCTGTTTCTGTACTGGAAGACCTCATATCGTTTTCCGAGCTATATGAAGAAAACAAAGATGGCTCCTACGCTGGGTTCATTGAGATTCTGTTATCGTTGGCGGCTCAAAAGAAAGCTTTATTAAGAAAGTCCAGTTTGATGATATGGGAATCATTTGTGGGTCAGGTCTCACCTGATGACCTTTCAGTTTTGCTTGATGTACTACCGGCGAGGGAAAATAAAGAAGGTTATAGTAATCTTTTTGAGGGTGCTAACGAAGGCGAGAGCTCCGAGGGAGAAGAAGACGATGACGACGACGAAGACGAAGAAGATGAAAATGAAGAAGATGAAGAAGAAGATGAGGACGCTTCGAAAGATAACGGAAGCAGTGACGAAGAAGAAGACGATTTGCACAATGATAATACTGGCACCATTGAGAAAGAAGCTGCCAGTGCCCTAGCGAAAGCTTTGAATTTGCCAGATTCTTTAGTTGACGACAAAGGTGAGGTCCATTTTGACGATTTAAGCGGCACAGGCGACGATGATGAGGACTCAAGTGATGAGGACCTTGATGATGAGAAGATGATGGAACTTGATGATCAACTTTCAGAAATCTTCAAGCGCCGTAAGGAAGCTTTATCCCAGATTCCAACGGGTAATAAAAGAAAGAAAGAGGTTCAGGAATCGAGAGAAAATGTCATCGCTTTCAAGCACAAGGTGGTAGACATGCTTGAAGTGATGGCACGTTGGGCTGAGGCTGAGTCCAAGAAAGATGACTTTTCTGGCGCCCTGGAGAAAATATTGGAGACTGTTGTTCCGCTCGTAGAATGTGTCAGAACAACTATGGACAGGCCACTTGCGGAGAAAGTGTCGAAGCTGGCTAAAAATAAGATCACGAAAATCAAAGTAAGTGGCGTCAACGCTGCTGGAAGGTATGACAAAGACACCATAACGGAGCTACTTAGGGACATTCATCAGTCTATGTTCTCAAAGAAGCCAGGGCAATTTCCGAACCTCTTCTTCTCGGTTTGCTCTTCAACTTCGATCTTTCTGGCCAAGCTAATGATTGAGTTGGACCCTTCGATGGAAACGTATTTCACTTTGACAAAACTATACCATGAATCATTAAACGAGTGGTTGAAGTGGGGAAAGTTCGGTGTGAGCATGTTTACAGATTTCCTCAATTGGCTGTCGTTAAAGAAGCAGCAGACGACAAACTAGTCAAACGAGGAGTTGTTTGTCCTTTGCTGCCGTTGAGGACCTTGTGTACTATTCATAGCAGAACACTCCGGTGGCAAATTAAAGAAGCGTTCGAAGCTGTCAATTACCAAAAGTTTCAGAGCAGCCACTGCCACATGGATGCGCCGTTGTGCTACTTCCTGATTCGTATGAAGAAAAAGCCGCTGAAGATGTGACACGAATTGTTAAACGAAAGTAAACGATATCAATTGATGGTGGGGCTCAAGTGGTTCATCATTGGCATAAATCAACAACTTGCACAAGCTGGCTATACGGCACAGCCGAGTAACGTAATGTTAACTATAAAAGAGTTAACGTTTGTCGCGTCACAGTCAAGATCAAGACTACACCACTCAAGAATGAAGCACTCCACCGACATCAACAAGGAAAACGTGATTTTTGACACAACCAATGGCTTACAGAATGGTGTTGTCTTTGCAGCAACATACGAAGGCGCTTCTTTTGAGGTCGCAAGCATTGATAAGGTTAAAAGCTGTCACAACAAAAGCCAGATTTTGTCAGAAAATTTGATTATTGCGGCTTTGACCAAGATCATCGAGGATTACAGTGAGCTTCGGACTACTGTGAACTCCGATATGCGGCTTAAATTGCTTGAATGCATAAGGTATGATGATGTTGTACGTGAGATACAGTATGAAAGCTACAGCGAGGAGCGCCTGAATTGTCATGGAGGAATTCCACCTTATATTTTACACGATATTCTTAATAGCAACACTTGGAGCACGGGAAGACCCCTATGGAAACTTTTTATTTACACGGGCAAACCCTCATATTTCATGGGCACGATGCTCTTTTCGATTCCTACGCAGCTGCATCATTTCACAAGTTATTTCTGAATGCACTCAATTCGCTAGAAAAATATCCTTCTCGGGTTTCAGATTTCATTTTCCAGTCTGGTCCGGCGCTTAAGCCATTGCAGAACTCGTGCATTTCCAGACAGCCTGCTCTGGTTTGTTTACCAGAACTCTGTACGTGTTATGATGACTCTCTGAGTACAACAAAAGCTCTCTGCAGCCTTGTTAAGGGAAAAACAGCGCTCTTAACCGACGATAGGCAATGCGATCGTATCGCCAATCCATTACCTTCACCGGATAAGAATACCCGCCTTGTTAGGCTTTGTGGAAAAGTTGTTTTCGGAACCGTCGAATCTACGAGACTATCAATCCTCCAGAGCTCTGTCAATGGCAGTGCTGTAACACTTCAAACGTTTCTTGCTGCTGCTGCGATATTCAGCCTTCAAAGCGCAGACTTCGAACACATATCAAGCTTGAAATTTTCAATTCCAATGACTTCAAGAAATCTGAATGAACCAACAGCACAAACGGGACTCTACCACAAGAACAACATTTCTTTTGACTTCCCTCTTAGTGACTACAGAACTAACCCTTTGAGTATTTTTGACGCCGGAGAAGCAACTCTTGAGGGCGCGACCTTGAACGATCAGACACTCACAAATAAACCGTTAGAGAAAGGATCTCGATTTGATGAACTTCTCTCCTTTGTGTCAGAGAGGTTGAGGAATGCTAGGAAAAAGCCTGATTTTTCATCTGATGCTAAGCAGGATCTGGCGCTCACAGGAAATGAAGATCTTATCCATCGAAAAAAAACGCGAAATCATGTCGTAGAAATCATTGACCTCACCGAAAACACTTTTTCAAAATCGGAGAAAGACCACTACTTTATCCAAGATGCATACGCTGCAAGAAGTAGAAAGAAAGATGTTTTTATGTCGATCCATTTCTGCCTGACATCTTCTGGTCTCACAGTAAGCATTCATTATCCAGAGGAAAACTCCTGTCTGGATGCTTTTGTAGAGCATTTCGAGTCATTAATAGAGCTATACCCGAAAATCGTATGATCGATAGAACTGATGATCTATAGATAATCTTAAACGCTGTAGAGTCTACAGATAATCTTAAACGCTGTAGAGTCTACTCAAGACTATGTATGTCGTAATCCTTTGGAACGTATGGATCTGTAAGACTACTGGAAGGTTTCCAAATTTGTACAGTATTATCTTCCTCAACGCTAGCCATAAGCCAAGGTAATTTGGTGTTGCACGAGAAATCATTGATGGCGCTTTTATGACCCGCATGCATCATTAGTAGTTCAGGCACTCCATCAGCAGCATCTTCTTGGGGCTGCTCGGCACCAATTTGAAATAGGTCCCACACAAGTACCCTGCGATCAGAGCCCGCTGAGCATAAAATACCATCCTTATGAGAAGCGAAGTCCAAACTTGTTACAGCATCTTGGTGGCCTGAAATGCTGTGAAGAGGTGTCGATGGCTTTCGTAGATCGTAGAGATAAACTAAAGAGTCTGTTCCGGCCGCTGCAAAAAGGTTAGCGGAATGCTTGCTGAAGGCCAAAGTATTAAACGCTTCGCTTTGCTTCAATGTGGCTATAGGATTATCCGAACGTTTATCGTGAAGCAGCAATGTTTTGTCTTCGGAGACAGATCCGAACAAATCTGGATTTGTTTCATGCCATTTCGCCTCGTTCACGATATCTGTGTGATTTTCATCCACTTTGATAGGTGTGCGCTTTGCGGAACGGATGTCCCAAAGGGCCACTGTTCCATCGTCTGAGCATGAAAGTAAATCGCCTGGCGATGCAACGCTAAAATTGAGCCCGTATCCATTCTCCTTATGAAACGAAAACTCACCTCTCAATGCATTTTCTTTATCCTGGGACCTATCATAGAGAAAAACTGTTCCTGAACCATTGATGGTAGCTATCAGATTACTGTCAAAAGGTGCATATCGCGCCCTAGTGACCTCTTCTCTATGTTCGAATTTCTGGGTGATTTTGATCTTGGATTTCACCGATTTCGATGAATTTTCACCACCACCATTGCCATCAGCATCCACATCAGCGTTGCCATTAAGAGTGCCATGTGCGCTACTACTATCTTCTATTTTCCTGTCATTTGAAGACCCACTCTGAAAAATTTCCTCAGGTAAATCCACAGTCGCTATTTTCAAGTAGTTCTGCTCTTCTCCGGATGTATGAGTCCCCACAATCAATTCCTGTTGCGCAGAGTTAGCTTCTTTATCTGGCAGCCATTGTATTGTGAGTGATGGCCATATAAGTTTGGTCTCACTGACAAAGTCGTACATCAAAGGGACGTTAGATTTCCACAAATCATACTCCTGGTCAGTTGAAAGCTCTTGATCGGGTTCTGCAGTAGTCATTGAGCTCAATTGAGAGGGATTGTTCAGGTAGTTTGACAGGTAGCTGGTCAAGTAACTGTATTCAACATCGAAGATGTAATTTATTTACAGGTGTCAGTATATGAAAAAGTGACGAGATCGACGGTGACAGCTTCGACATTTAGTAACACTGTTGCGCTCAACCAAGGCTTTTCCGATATTCTGTAGTGTGTTTGCACCGGCCAACTCAATATTTTCGTTTTGTAGAATGTATCTTGTTTCTTGAACTTAACCAACTTGTGTATGGAAAAAGTCAAGTATTGTTCAATTCACTGACACTTAGTCAAGTGTTGCTTGCCTTCGTTTTGCCCGTGCACTAGAATATCACAGGCATCTCTATCAATTATTAAAGTAACAAGCATTTCTTGTGTGAAGCCTGAACTCCTTTTTAGCCAGATTTCGCAAAATTACCTTCTTTTTGAGGTGAGCGCTGGATCTCTTTCAATCACATTTTCAACTCCACCCAGAGCTTCCAACTTATCTTCTTCAATTCTGACTTGTTCGCGTCTTTCCCACCAGCGATCCTGGCACAGCTCGAAAGAATGCCTCTTTAGGTGCTTGCCCTTGGCATCACGTTTGTTGGAAATAGCCCATTGCAAAAATTCAGCACCAGTCCGTATGTAGAACTCACGCAGCGATTCAAAGGCCTTGGGATGTGGGAGCCAGGGTCTGAGATCAGGTATCCCTGGCTCATCTCCTTCATCATCTTCCTCTCCCTCGTCTTCTTCGTCTTCCTCCTCGGCGACCAGCTTTCTGTCACCCGAGTCTTCCTCGTCATCATCGTCTTCATCATCGTCCCCATCTTCTTCGTCTTCGTTGTCTTCGCCATCCTCGTCTTCCATCGTAGCCTTCTCAACAGCCTCAAGATCTTCCCAAAATAACCTCACTCCATCAAGTTTATTCAGGTCGATAGAATAGAACGAGTCGATTCCGTAATCTTTCTCCCCATATTCCCAAGTACCTCCGAATATAAATAATAGGTCGTCCACCACCGCCGTGGTGGCATTGAAACGTGGATGAGGCAACTGAGTCAGAATAGTGTACTCCTTGGACTTGCTTTCGGCTTCTTCCTGTTCATCCATCCTGCGCAACTCCTTTTCGATCTCATCGTCGTAAGGATCCGCGCCGTCGTCGTTATCGGCGAGATTTGCCTTTTTCAAGATGTCATTGAGTATGTTTTCGAGTTCTTCATCTTTGTTTCGACTGCTTTTTGGCGCTGCAGTGACCCGCTTCTTCTGAGGCCTCATCTTCAGCGCATACCACCTGTTGGACTCGACCTGATAAGAAAAGAGATCGTTGAAAAATTCCGAGTTCAATCCTTCTTCAGTTTCCTCATAGTCGTAAACACCTCCAAACAAAATACCTCTGCCCTTGTGATGTACCATGGAGCAACCAACACGGGGTGATGGTTGAAAACCCTGCTTTTTGCGTCGTTCCCACCTGACGGCGCTGATGTCCGATTTCATGACAAGATACCAACAGTCCGAGAGAATTTTTCCCTTTTGCAATCCTCGTCCAGCTTTAACTTTACAGTAGCCTCCCCAGAGAACTGCACCGTCTTGCGTTGGGATGACGGAGTGACCGGAGCGAGCCTCCGGAATTGAGTGGCTAGGAGGAAATTCTATTTGCTTCCATTTGTAAGTGGTGATATCGAATAACCAGCAATCCTTCAAATATGAGGTGGAAGTTCCCAAGTCGCGGAAACCGCCATGCAAAATGAAATAGTTCTTCCAGACGGTCATACGGTGTCCAGAACGGGCGCTAGGCCCATTTTTCTGCTCGATCTTAGTCCATTCTTTGGTGTCACAGTCCAGGAGCCAAGTATCTGAATAATGGTAAAACGTATTCTGCTTTGGAGACGAAAACTCGCCTCCATGAAATAGGGCCACACCGCTTGGGTGTGCAGCAGCAGCAGCGGAAGATCTAGGCATTGGCGCATTTTTAGATCCGATTTTACGCCATTGAGCACTATCAAGCGAGTAAGTGAAAAGTTCATTGTAGAAAGTTGTGCTGGAAGTCGAAGGGTTGGTATGTTCACCACCAAAAAGAATCAATTCTCGTTTTCCATGCGTTGGGTTCGAAATCATAGATGAGTTGACACGTTGGCTTGGTCTTACCACGCTTGACACCACAATTTCCTGAAATTCCTCTTGCTCTTTGCGATACGCCGCTAGCACCTCATCGATATCTAAATCGTCGTCATCTTCAGAATTGAGTTTCTTGCTTCTCTTCTTGTCTTTACTTTCAGCTTTTTCCAAATTTTTCTTGTTCTTCTGTTCAGACCTGGCCTTTTTTGCCTCTTTGTCCTTCTTACTCTTTTTAGCCATCCTGAATATGATACTCAATGTCTTGAGAGGGTATAAATGTCGCTAAGAATCGGTAAAGAATCGGGCGATGAGCTCTTAACCAGTTGGTTCGTTGCATCATTCATCGAAGCTAATTAGCCATGTCGAGGTAATTGAAGGTTTCGTGAATGACGATATATAGTGCTTTGAGCAGCGACACTATATATTGGCACTCTGACACCGATTTCTATTCCCATTTTGGTTACTTTTGAATGTAGACTTGTTGCTATTAATTCATTTACAATCCCGCCATCGTTTTCGTAAGTTGCTGTGTGTTTGCACGTTTTACATATGAAGTTATCAGTTCGATGGGATAAATCCGTCATTGGTAATGAACTGGCTTCAAATGACTTGGAATGCTAAATTTTGGGACTCTGAGGAAGTATAGAGACTTCTTGTATCGCATTGACGAGGCTTGTGCTCATTGCTGTCCATGTAACAACTCTTATCAGTTTTCAAGAAATATGAGAGAAGAATAATTTTATGAGACATAGCAGTTGAAAATGACATGGATTAACGGCAACTTGAGACACACTTCAGTTGTGAAGTTCCACGATTATTGATAGACGTTCTCCCAGTTATGTCACATGTAGTTGAGAAGAGCAGTAGAAACCTATCATTTTAGTTCACCCTGTCGCTGATTTAGAGTCACATGACGGTTGATACTCTCGAGCACACATATCCTGGCGCCCTAGCTGTACTTACGACCAAATACCACAACGAAGTTTATGATTCAATCGTTTGATTCCTTCGTTCAATGATATAGGGTTTACGTCATCCTAATGTTATCACTCTATTCTCTCTGGCTATGTCGTCTCCAGGTCCAGTCAGACTATTTATAAGAAGCTTAAATTCTTGTGCTGAAAAGGCTACCTAGACTTTCTCCAGGCCTAGGCCATTATAAGTAGCTTAGTGAGATGTATCCTGTCTTGTATATGGATTATTTGAAGCAAATATTGAGCCAGGATCGGAGTGTGAAATGATGCATGCAAGTAAGAAGGGAAAAAGCTGAACAGAATAGCAGACAAACATCACACCTAGCAATTCTCAACAAGCTTGCCCACCATTGCAGCCAGTTCGTCAGCCTGTTCCCTTGAGGCAGCCTCTGCATAGACACGCACGGCATCCTCAGTTCCGCTGGCCCTAACAAACGACCTCGCATTGTCATATTTTGACACGAGTGCATCAATTTCCTGTTGCAGGTTAGCTGGACTTTCAAGCTGTCTTTCCGCATTCGTGGTTTTGAACAAGGTTCTATCTGGCACCACGACTTTGATTAGACGATTGGGTAGATCGGTGTATTCTTCATCCCATTTTTGAGGGGTCCATTGCAAAACCAACAAGACAGCCAATACAGCTAACATATCAGACAGAGCATCTCCCACCGTTTGGTTTATGAGCCTAGTAAAGACTGATAGCAGTTTCAAGGAGTTGTAGGACTCGGGAGATGATTGCGAGTCTGTCGCAAGCTTCGAGTTCAACAATTCCACAAATTTTGACGAGAAAACGACTGTACCGTGACCGTTGGCCTCGAAATAGATGCCGATATCAAACTTAACCGCCTCATGATGTAGATGTTTTACACCTGTAGATGTGCATTTGACAGATACACCTAAAACTTGTTCGAGGTAATTAGCGGAGCTTCCATTGGCGTATGCGGTTTGAACGACGCCCATTTCCACGTCTTTTTGCAATCCGCTGCTGCGGAGAAGCTGCTGGAAAAACTTGGCAAATAAAGTAGCCATTTTATCACCGTCCAGTAATTTAAACTGACCTTGAGGATCGTTGTAATAGAACACTATTCTGTCAGCATCACCGTCAAACGAGCAATTGATGCGTCTTGCATTGAAAGTTTCGCCAACGGCGATACCATGTGGAAGTTTCTGGTTTGTCTTTACGAAGTCCGCGCCGCAACAATAGTTGAGCGCGGCATAATTTTGCCAATCGGCATTTGAAACTTCATATGCATTTTTGAAAACTTGGCGTTGCGAAAGCATGGCACTTATCTTTGGACCGCCAATCCCGTTAGCCGCATCGATCTTCAATTCGAAAGGCAGCGCTTCAATTCCACTGATGGTTGTAATTTCATCCCAAGCTGACAAAAACTCATTGTAGTATAGCTTTTCATCTTTTTCCACATTTTGAGGAAACTCATTCGTTTTGCTTGTCAAAAAATGCAATTGTGGGGTGGTCAGAATGCCATAATCTCTAATTCTCAAAGTAGGAAAGGCCTGTACACCAGCTTCAAACGCTTCCAATAAACGGGGGCCCGATTCCCGCGAATCACGGGCCACTGCGATCCCACCTGAACGGTTTGTGTCAATTTTCAGTGTTTTTACCAGTTCTTCCAAGTTTGTTGCAAAACTAGCATAACTTTCTGAAGCACAATTGGCAAGTTGCGTAGCATGTTTTTCCCAGCTCTGTTCTAGCATTTCGCCTCTAGGCTCCACAATTTTCACACCATTGTCTTCTGGTGGGTTATGAGACGCAGTTATCATCACCCCAACTGTTTGTCCGCTAAGATGGAGCGATCTGAGCCCTGCTAAGACGCCAGTGGTGAACATCACAGTGTCTAGAATATCCGCCTTGTAGCGAAATCCAGCTGTACCGTAACTGTATTTAAACCCATGTTTGCAGTGTTTTTCATAAAGAGCTTTAAGAGTCTCACCGTCGAGCATTGTTGCGTTACAGGATTGATCAATGGCACACTTCAAATTCAAGTTTCCGAGATTTCAGGTACTTCCAAGAATTTTGACTACTTTTTATATGTTTCCCATGAACGGTATATATTAAGTTCGAATACCTACAGAAATAGACTATCACAATAATTTTAGGTCAAAAGTTCATCCTATTTTACTCAAACCGGCTCAAATAGCGCTGGATTCATATTCATGGTCTTGTAAATGGCACCTCCAACTCCAGTTTTCGGCAGAGAAGAGCTTGCACCGGTAAGAAACAGAATCGTGGAACCTTGTCAGTTGAAGTCTTTGATCCAACATGAATGCGAGTACGATGGGCTGAAATACGTGTGTTTGCCTTTCAAAAGAGTTTTCCAAGAGTGTGTTGTGGGTGCACAGCGTCGGAAGACTCGATTCGAGGTCACAACGGAGCTCACAAATGGTGCCGTTGATGTTACCGTTGAGAGGTTTTGGTCTATGGGGAAAGGGTCTTAGAAGGAAGAAAGAGGGATAGTGGGATGTGTGGGAAATGAAGCAATGGAGGCAGATATCAGCATTTTTTTGCAGGGACCAAGAGATTACTAAAGTCTGATGGGAAAATGAGACCGAGATGAAGATGACCTAGACTTCAGAAGGTCTGAAAGAGAACAAAATTGAGACGATCATGTGGCTTGGCTTTTCACCTACCGGCTTTTCAGTAGTTTGTGCTCGAAAACAGAGTCGAGAAGTGAGTATTGGTCATTGAAGCGGCTGTGTCAAAAGTGCCCCAGGGCCAACTTCAATTATCGACTGGGAAGGACTACTTTACTGATGGGAAGAAAAAGGTACAGACGCTCATGAGATGTCACCCAATTGACTAGCTACCAAAACGTATCACAAGACGTGCCCAATTTCCACGTTTTACTGAACAGTACCACAAATACGAACGTATTGTTTGTTCTATAGACTATACACGTCTCTCATGAATCCGATACACTCTCTATAGCCTTATGAAGCATGGGCCAGATCTATTCCCTTCCGCCTCGTGACTTTCGAAGTGTACTCGCGCCCGTACTCGGGATATCCTTTCATAAATGTAAACAAAAGATTTGTGACACAAAAACAAGACTATCGACTATAAAAGCTCGGTGCTCCAGCGATCAGGAAGGTTCCCAGGTCCTTGACACATTTGACATTTGTGTTGGTTTTGTCCGGCGTGTCAACAGCTTATTGAGAACCCTCAATTGGAGTATGACACCCTAATAGTTTTAGTGTAGTTAGACATAAAGAACTGAGTGTTGGCGGCTAAGGCCCAGTAAAATAGCGATATTAGTTTTTACGTGTGTAAGTGTTTAAAGTATCGATCATCATCACGGCTTGGAGTCGCTAAAGCGCTTTTGTGTTGCTGCCGATAACTTCCACGCAACGTCCCTGCTAGAGCAGTGTTAAGACAAACACCGCCCATCCTTTGTATGCTAAAGGTACATGACCTGATTTACAACTAGGGCTTTCTAACTCAATGTAACGGCATCATTGTACATGCATATGGCTTTCCCCATAGGTCCCCATAGGATATCTATATCACAAATCACACTCACTCATGGATGGGACTTGAGAGAGAAAACCGACCAGCCAAGGGTTTCCGATTCAAGCGCCGTTGAATAGTGGAATTGACCCTTAGTAACTGTATATCGTTCAAAGCCCTCGTCGCTTGCCGATCTGTCCTCTGGGTATGCAATTCCCCAGCTTAATCCGTGTTCGGGTCCGAATTTCAATCCATCGCACATGATACGTTTCGAGATCAGCAGCATCGAAAATAAGAGATATATATCCCAGCGTTCGCGCCAAATAGGTCCCCACTCTACAGTTTCGCAACTCTGTGATATCAAAAACCGTCGGCTTTCGACTCAGCATTTCATAGCCATGTTCAAAGTAACGTCCAAAGGTGCAAGCAAGACACTTTCTCAGGGCAAGGCCTCTGCCAGACTCTTGTCTGCCTCTGCCGTGACACGCACCAACAACTTCCGTGTGGAAACCGATGCATTCGGTGAGATTCGTGTTCCCAGCGACAAATACTGGGGTGCCCAAACGCAACGTTCTCTGGAGAACTTCAAAATTGGTGGTGTACGTGAACGCATGCCCGAGCCTGTGGTTAGAGCCTTTGGTATCCTTAAGAAGTCTGCGGCTATCGTCAACGAATCTATTGGCACGCTCGACCCTCAAGTCTCGAAGGTTATTCAACAGGCTGCGGATGAGGTTATCAGTGGAAAGCTTGTTGACCATTTCCCATTGGTGGTATTCCAGACCGGATCAGGTACCCAGAGTAACATGAACGCTAACGAAGTCATTTCCAACAGGGCCATTGAGATTGTGGGTGGCGAGAAAGGTCCTAAATCTATCCATCCAAACAACCACTGTAACCAAGCTCAGTCCTCAAATGACACTTTCCCCTCTGTTATGCACATCGCCGCTGTCACCGAGATCACCGGCCATCTTCTACCTGAATTGACAGCCTTGAGAGATTCTTTTGCCCGCAAGTCTGAAGAATTCGATAGCATTGTCAAGATTGGTAGAACTCATTTGCAAGATGCTACCCCTTTAACCCTGGGACAAGAGTTTAGCGGATACACTCAACAGTTGACCAACGGTATTACCCGTGTCGAACAGTCTCTACACCATTTGAAATACTTAGCCCAAGGTGGTACCGCTGTGGGTACCGGCTTGAATACCAAGATTGGTTTCGCTGAAAAGGTCGCCGAACAGGTCAGCAAGGAGACCGGTATTGACTTCAAGACAGCTCCTAACAAGTTCGAAGCCCTAGCTGCACACGATGCCGTCGTCGAATGCTCAGGTGCTTTGAACACTCTAGCCTGCTCCTTATTCAAGATTGCCAACGATATTCGTTATCTAGGATCTGGTCCTCGTTGTGGTTACGGCGAGTTGTCGCTACCTGAAAACGAACCTGGCTCTTCGATCATGCCTGGTAAGGTAAACCCTACCCAAAATGAGGCCTTGACTCAGGTTTGTGTTCAGGTTATGGGTAACAACACTGCCATCACTTTTGCAGGTGCCTCGGGTCAATTCGAACTCAACGTCTTTAAACCGGTCATGATTTCCAACCTTTTGAGCTCTATCAGACTACTAGGTGACGGCTGCAACTCTTTCAGAATTCACTGTGTGGACGGCATTGTTGCCAACAAAGAAAAGATTGGCAAGCTACTAAACGAATCGTTGATGTTGGTGACCGCTTTGAACCCAAAGATCGGCTATGACGCTGCTTCCAAGGTTGCCAAAAACGCTCACAAGAAGGGTATCACTCTAAAAGAGTCTGCTTTGGAGCTGAAAGTCTTGTCCAGTGCCGAATTCGACGAATGGGTCGTTCCTGAGAACATGATCGGACCTAAATAAGTTCCGAGTCCATTTGGAGATGCTTTGAATAACACATTTACTTCTTTATGCCATCCTTCCTCGAGCATAATATTCCTATTTAAACAAACAATTCCTGTGTTCTACTAAGATCAATAGTTCCCCGCTGGCTAAAGACCGTGGGTGTTTCTCATTGTTCGACTTCTTCGTCGCTCGTTACTCAGGGCTCAGTTCGTTCATGATTCGTTTATTCGTTCCTGCACTGCAGGCCACCGAACGATGCTCGCGAAAGATCAAATGCGTTGTTAAGTAACATCAAGAGAAGACCAATGAATTACAGATACTTTTACTGCCGCTGTTTGATTCCAATAAGCAGACACGGAGACCTGTAGTGCATCATGGAAGAAAAAGATCTCAATCTGCTGCAAGAGATGCAGGAGCGAGGGCATATGCGGAAATTAGGCCATTTGGAGAACTACTTTGCAGCCTGTCAGCGCCAAGACCTGTACACAAACTTCAGCATGTTTTGTGAGGTAACGGCTTCCTTTTCTCGCAAAGAGTTATCTTCTGCTGTTAGAGCAGTTTGTCTGGACAATCCGATTTTGTTACACACGGTGATTCCCAGAAACGAGGAAGACCACAGTTTGAAATATTACATTAGTGATGAACATATTTCTAAACCAGTGGCCTCGCATGAATATATGCGACTATTGCAAAAGGTTGACATGTCCGATATTTTGATGAACGAGCAGCCTGAATACGCCAGTACCGTGAAGGAAATTCTCGAATTGTTCGAGACCCAATCGCACAGATATACCAGTGAAATCTTCGATGTGGGATCAACTGTAAGGATACCTTACGGAGACGCTTCTAAGCCCAATTGGAGACTATTGTGTTTACCAGGGACATCAAAGGACTCATTTTCGAATGTACTGTTTTTCTCCAACCATTGCTCAAGCGATGCTAGCTCTGCCGCCAATTTTTTCAAAGACGTGTGTTTCCACCTCAGCAACCCGCGCGTTCATTCTGCTCCCGACGATGTTATTTTTGACTACGTCACTGATTACAAGGGCATAGGTAAACTACCTGTCCCAATTGACGACCGTGTCAACTATAAACCACCCTTGACGTATCTTCCTCGTTTGATAGGCACAGGTATTGTTCGTAAGTACCTCAGCTACCACTCGAAAGGGGCTGTAGTCTCGCGCGTCACAAAGCCCGATGCGGGCAATCGTGTGCACTCTTACATCCTCAATTTCACGCCAGCACAGGTCCAACAGATACGAGAAAAAATCAAGGCCCACGATTTCAACTGTACCATCACGCCTTTTCTACAAACCTGCTGGCTTGTATCCATGTACAAGTACGGCAAAATATTCTCGAACTCGCTATGGGAATGGTTCATCGACATGGTGGTGCCTATGCACACTTCCCAATTACTTCCTGATGACCCAGAACTTAGGGCTATGTACCGCTACGGAAGTAACATTGGCGGATCTCGCTACAATCTTCTCGTCTCTTCTTTGAATGTAAGAGACGACAGGAATGCCTTTTGGTCATTAGTCAAATACTATAGCGGGGTCTTCCACAATGCCAAAGTTAACAATGACTATCTCTATCCACTGGGTGCATTGATGCTTGAATCGGTGTGTGGAAAAACCAACGTGGATAAGTTGGTGGCCGATGATTTGATCGGACTTCCCCGTGAAGGTGTTGTGTTGAGCAACATTGGCTTTGTGAAACCAGATCCAGAGATGCAGCGGTTCAGGATTAATGACTTATACTTCGCACAGACTTTAGGGAGTTTAAGACATAGCTTCACCTTGAGCGCTTGCACTACAACTAATGGCGGAATGAACTTGGTTATGTGCGGGGCGTTGGGCACCGTACAGAACAAGCAGGACTGGATCGAACTGTGCGAACTGTTCAAGGATAACGTCTTGACGTACTAGGCAGATCAAAGCTCAAGGCTTGGTTTGATTTACGTAACCATTGATACTATTCTTTTTGGCCATTCAAGAGTTTCTTATGTGAAGAAGCCCAGGTCTGAAGCCGCTACCTATACATGTAGCTACTGAAAGCATTAATTGAATACAGGAAGTAATTTTGAGTGAACCTCATAGCACAACACATGGAAAAAGGCAACAGGAGTAAAGCTTATTCATTCAAGTTCTTGTAACCATATGTCAAAGCACCTCTGCTCTCAAAGTGGTCTATCAACTTCCGCCATAATGCGCCTTTCAAAGTTAGAGTCCTTTTATTTCCGACAATAAATAGGCCGTATCGAGCTCGAGTCAGTGCGACGTTCAATCTTCTCTTATCTGCGATAAACCCAATGGCACCGTAGTTATTGCTTCTTACGCATGAGAGGATTATGAAGTCGTTTTCATGACCCTGGTAGGAATCCACCGTCGCGATCACCATTCCATTGACGCTGTTCGTGATAGCTTGTGGTTCAATGCCGCCTTCTCCACTTTCGTTCATCATCTTTCTCAGAGTCGACGAGCGTTTCTGCTCAGGCTGGAAGAGGTCCATTGCCATTTTCATGATCAAATCTCTTTGAGCGGAATAAGTAGTTATCACACCAATCTGACCAGGCAGAACGCCCTTGGTTGAAATCAAGTCTTGAACAATCTTTAATACAATTTCCGCCTCGCCTAGATTCCGATAGGTGTGTCTAGATTGGCGGTCTGTGCCAATTGAAACTACTGTTTCCTTCGCATTTTCAAGATGGTGGAACGATATGACAGGCAATGGCGTCGGCCATTCTCTGTCTTCGGAACTGATGCCATCTTTTAAAGAGCCGTGATAAAACGTTCTTGCCGGAAATTCAGAGATCAATGGATGCATCCTGTACTGAGTATGCAACATTACTGGATTACAATTCTTATCAGCGAGCAATTTTTCAAATAACGACACTTGCTTTAAACCATTTCTGGAGAAACAGGACAGCTGCTTCTCATCTCCCAGGAAAACTAACTTTTCGACATGAGGAAGTGATATCGGCACCAGAGAAGAAAGCTCTGTTGCCTGTGTACACTCATCCATGATCACCGTTTCGAATTCGTAAGTACCCTCGTATACCAAACATCCAGACGCTATATTAGTTGTGAGCACAACTTTAGCTTTACTCAATATTTTGAACTTCAACTTTGCTTGGGCTTCCAATAGCTTGTGATAATCGTCCGCTGCAATTGCCTCATATTTTCTCTCTTGCAACAGTTTTTTAACGTTCTGCAAATTTGGGGGTAACAGTGGAAACATTATGTTGTGTAAGCAAGCACCTCCCAAGCTGTCGTCGGGCGGATATGAGGGCTCTTTGGCAGTGGATGTAACTCTCAGTAAACTTGGCCCATTACAAATGCCTGATAACCTCTCATACAGATTGTCAACTGCAATGTTGGATTCCGCCACGCATAGTATTGGCCAGCCTTCATTGCGTTCGAGTAGCTCTTTGACAATGTCGGCTATGACCGCCGTTTTCCCGGTACCTGGAGGCCCTCGAACCAAGGTGACCTTCTCCTTCAAAGCAGAGCTCACAGCACGATGTTGAGAATCGTTGAGTCTCTCGCTTATGTTGAGGTTTTCATTGCTGTAGTCACTAGCTACATTAGGTGGGATACGTCCTAACGCAACCCCAAGAAATTGAGAGCGCTCAATTCTCTCTAAAGCCCCCAGCATCCGAGTCTCTTGTCCATCTATGGGCAGTATTTCAATTTTGGCTTTTTGCCAATCGATCGGTAAGCTAGCCTGATTGAAGTTGTGAAGCTTCAAGCATAATTCGAACCGCTCTTTGGAATTGTCCATTGACATGACATAAAGGAACCAGCGACCTTGGCCACTTTTTGAAGATAGAAGAAAAGATTGACCGCTGGAAAATGGGGCAAATGGTGGTCTGAGCAGAAAGTTGGGATGCTTCAATTCCTCGCTGTTTCGGCTAATTTTGACTTCGCAAGCTCTTCCTTTACTATCCGCTAGAGAGCTGATTTGAAAATCGGTCATTGGCTGAACTTCTTGATGCAAGGCTTCTGCCATCTCGGCTAGCAGGTGACGTCTGTGAGAGTCCAGGCTTGGGAAAGTCTTCAGAGCTGATCGGGGTTCACCCGAGGCAACAGGCGGACTCTTAGTTTGCTTGGACAGACCTATGTGTGACAACTTCAACAGACTGTCCCCCTCCTTCTTATGCTCCTTCTTACTAGCCCTTTTCTCTTCTTGCGTCTTTTTACCTGTCTGTTTCGAACGATTTTCTGCCGTCGCCGTAATTTTCATTACTTCAATGAGGTCTACGAGCTCCGCATCTTGTTGACCGGTGCAACCTTTGTACTTGCCCTGCAGAGTCGCAATGTTGTCAACGCATACTTCGGAAATCGATGGGTCATACAGTGTACGTGATGAAGTGTTTTGGCCGCTTTTACCTGACGATGCAACAGAAGGGCCACAATCAACAACATAGGCATCGTTCCTAACGCCTAATGCGTTTAATGAGTCGACGGCCAACCGTTCGATTTGCAGTTCCAAACTCTCAGCTGTCCCTGATGCCGTCAACCATGAACTATTCGCTAGTAGATTGTTGAGCTCAGGATATTCGGGAAAGGTAACGACAGGATCTCTTTCTTCGCGTTCACGGTAGTAGTTGCCATCAGACATATCGTTACTACGACGAAGCCCATCTGTTGACTAACCGGCTTTCCCATTTTTCACAATGGCCTTTTATATACCAACGCCAATGCATCGTAACGCTTTCGAAGCACCGCCAGTCAGAATACAAAAACGGGATTATCGTCCGCAAGAGACGCGATACCTTCCTTTGTTCTGAGTTCTCGTTTTTTTTCCTTTCGGCATGGCGACGTGAAACTACTTGTTGCCACATGGATTCCTGAAAATGTTTCGCATCGGGATAGTCATTCTAGGTAACAAACGGTTGAGCGCATGTTACTCTCAGAGGCGCTCTGTTCGGCGAGATCTGTGCTTGAAAAATTCAGCTTTCGCACAGGGAAAGAAGTTACTTCTAATACGTCAACATTTTAGTTTCATAGAAAAACGGAATTACTGGCGAAGTGAGTTACAGGCAGTACCATTTTTACGTTAATGCGAAAATAGTGTAACGCAGTTGCATATAGAGAACCCACGTACCATCGAAACCGCCATATTGTTCTGCAATTTCAAGGTGTACTTCTCTTTTTTTTATTGTAGCAACCGAGACGTTTCTTAAATTCACGACAACAACGGCAACGTGAGTTTATAGGAACCGAAGTGGCCGACGCGACAACAAAAATAATGGCCAAAATTTATTTTGTTAGTGGAAACTGAAGATCATTGCTGGCACTGGCATAAGCGACAGCCGATCGTTGATAAGGGCTGAAAAACTTGGATTCCTCTTCTGTTACTACCAGCAGCTAGCGATGCACTATGTTTTGAAAGTAGGTGGTACCGAAAATCTTTTTGATTCGTTTCAGTACACTTGTGCATGTTCATTAGCCTCACTTGGTGGGTCCAAGTACCATGCCAAACAAATTTACGAATGCTTCAGTTCACCTCAAAGTCACAATGTTTGAAGTGAATGAAGGTTCGTGGGTTCTATACTCACAAGTAGCGAGTTCCATTGCACAATCCTGGGTGTGGGCAAAGAGCTTATTTAGCGCCGATATCCATTCATCATGATTAAAATGGGCCTAAACAACGAGATCTCTGTAAAACACCACGCTGGAAACTTAAGCTGAGGAGCGCTAATGTGGGGTAAAAACAGCACACTGCAATTTGGTTCAAATCAAGATAGAAAAGAATGGTCTGCTTTTCCTTTTTGACACTAGAAAGCCGGATGAATGCTGTACATCCAGTAACGGAACAACGAGTTGTCGAGTATTTTTAGCCACTACTTCAACAATTCATCGGTACAGCCGGTGTTCTCCATCACTGTCCATCTTGACGGGCGGATGCCATGCCATTCATGGTTTAAAAACACCCTTTTTGAATGTTGCAACAAGGTCAAAGTGAACAAAATGCACTACCGCTCTTTAAGAAAAAGGGAGGAAGCCATGCTAGAATGTAGCAAAGTATTTTCACGCCGCTTGTTAGTTTTTGCACGCGGGAAGGTTTGTTCGAAATCGAGTTTTAGCATTCCGTGAGCTTAAGTAAAATCAGAAGCTTCAAGGCGCACATTTTAAAAAAAAATCCCCGATGAATGCCTAACCTCTTCGAGCACTGTTGTAAGTTGCACACTTACCCCCCCC